ACACACTGCAGCACCCAGTGCCACTATGACAAAGGAGTAAGATGGAGAGACAGGAAAGACAGAGGGGCGGAGTGATACAAGTCAGCCACAGCTGTGACTGGTATGAGAGAAGCCTGCGATTAGTAGAGGAGCAGGTTGTTGCCCAGAGGGGTTGGCGAGATTTTTTCTTAATCTCAATTTTTATTTTTTTATTTACTTTTGGGGGGAGGTTACAAGTGTGGAGTGTGGAATGGCTGAGAAATGAGTGGGATTGGGGTACATGATGTGAAATTCCCAAAGAATCATTTAAAAAATTATGTTTAAAACAACAACACACACAAAATGAAACTGATAAACTGATGGGGCTGGAGAGATGGCTCAGCAGCTAAGAGCACTCGCTGTTCTTCCAGAGGACTCAGGTTCAAGTCCCAGCACCTGCATGGCAGTTCACAACTGTCTGTAATTCCAGTTCCAGAGGATTGTACATCCTCACATAGACATACATGCAGGCAAAACACCAATGCACATAAAAGTTATTTTTAAAATGAAATTTCATTTTTAAAACGCTGGTAAATGAAATGAGGTGGTGATGAGGAACAGTGTCAGTTGTCATTACATGGCAGGTGCCAGTGTTTAGCAGAAGCTGAGTTCACAGGGAACTAAAACACCTGTTTAGTTTATTGATGGTGAATCTTTTGGCAAAAAGCAAAAAGAAAAGGGTTGGGGAGGTGGCTCAGTTAGACCCACAAAACAGTAACAATACAATAACAACAACAACAAAAAAAACAAAGATCACTGGTTAAGAGTGCTTTCTGCTCTTCCAGAGAACCTGAGTTTCTTACTCTCTCCCACACCAGTTCATTCAGTCACCTCTAACTCCAGCTCCAGGGACTCTGATGCCCTCCTCTGGCCTCAGTAGGCACTGCACACAAGTACAGACACACACATATACGCATAAATGAAAATATCCTTTGAAAAAGATGAGGGCAAAAATGAGCAAAGTAAAAGCTGTGAAATCCTTAGAGTAGTAGGTGGCTCAGGCCATGCATGAAGAAAGAACAGAAAACGCGACTAGAGTGGCAACTTAGAGGAATCAGGAGGAGTTGGGGTTACATGCTTTGGTTATAGTGACAGATAAATACTTTCACTAGAAACTGAAGAGAAGGAGACTTTTGGAGAGATACCACTTAAATATCCAAATGAGTATGAGTCTAGTCCACTGTTTCTCTATCGGTGAGGCTCAACCCTGCATATCAGATTTTTTTTTTTTTTTTTTTTTTTTTTGGCCTTTCGAGTCAGGCTTTCTCTGTGATGTTTTGGAACCTGTTCTGGAACCCGCTCTGTAGACCAGTCTGGTCTCGAACTCACAGAGATCTGCCTGCCTCTGCCTCCCGAGTGCTGGGATTAAAGGTGTGTGCCACCAACTCCCAGCATTTTTTTTAGATTTATTTATTTATTTATTGTGAGTACAACGTCCTGCTTCCATGTCTGTTTGCAAGCCAGAAGAGGACACCAGATCTTATTACAGATGGTTGTGAGCCACCATGTGGTTTCTGGGAATTGAACTCAGGACCTCTGGAATAGCAGTCAGTGCTGTTAACCTCTGAGATATCTCTCCAGCCCCTGCATATCAGATATTTACATCATGATTCACAGCAGTAGCAAAATTAGTTGTGAAGTAGCAGTGAAATAATTTTTTGGTTGGAGTCACCACAACGTGAGGAACTGTATTAAAGGGTCACAACATTAGGAAGGTTGAAAACCACTGCTTTAGACAGTGCCGTGGCATGCTCGTGATGGAGTAGGCCAACACTGAAAACTTGGATGAACTCAGGCAAGTGATAGAGTTGGAACAAAAGCTTCTTTCCCTCTCAGTGAGTAGGCAGGCAGCAAGGCCACATGTTCCTCTTGAGAACCAGGGAAATATCTGTGATGTGCTGGAGCACATGAAGGAGCCTGTCCTGCAGACCCAAAGCTGCAGCAGCTCTACAGCACAGGGCAACAACAGGATAGCCACGAGGGCCCAGCATCCAAAGTACAATAGAGACCAGAGGCCTAGAACCAGACCAAAGAATGACTCTTCACAATGAACAGTTGCACATAAAGACACATGGATAAAAGGGTTTACTGCATGACTCACTGTGTCACGCTACAGCTTCCATGACAGTATATCCCAGGGCCATGTGCCTCTTAGCAGGTGCCAGAGGAATGGAATATAGAAATTCAGCATAGTTGGCACCTCCTGTACCTGCCACCCATTTCTTCCCCTGGTGACCCATAGTCAGGCAAGCTACCACCCATCCCCTTCTCTAGAACCAGCTGGGAGTGATCAGACAAGAATTGTGTCTGAAGCCACCAAGAATCTCAGGCCAAAAGTGGGTAGCCTCACAGAGGACCTGAATTTGGTCCCCTATAAAACACATGTAAAAATGCCTGGTGTGGTAAGGTGGCATATGCTTGTAATTCCAGGGCTAGCAAGTTCCAGCCAATGAGAGACCCTGTCTCAGAGGGACTGGTCACCATGCCTGTGGGTATTACCCAAGACTTTCTCCAGCCTCCACACTAGGGCATACACATGCATTTAACAGTTTTAAACTCCCAGTTGACATCATGTGTAGCCTGGTGCGGTAGTGAGTGTAACTATAGGCTGTCTACTCCAGAGACTGAAGAATGAAGCTTAGTTGAGCCTCGGAGCCATCCTGAGCAACATATCAAAAACCATGCCTCGAAAAATAAAATACATTATATTTATTAATTATTATTATTAGTGAGGAGATTGCTCACATATGGATATCAGAGGAAATGGTTCACTCCCTCTATCATTGGTTCCAGGGGTTGTGCTCAGGTCATCAGGGTTATGTAGCAAGTCTCTTTACCCAAGGAGCCATCTCACTGGCCCAGAATTAAATTAATTAATTAAATAAATAAATATATATATATATATACACAATTCATTCCAAAAGTTGGTGACAAACTTCTAACACTGAGATAGACAAGTTCAAGGCCAGCCTGAACTACTTAGTGAGAACTTGTAAAGGGAAGTTCGGGAGGAGGAGCTGGAGATGGTAGAATATTGGGTTAGGAAAAAATGAGTTGCAAAATCTTATCAGGATTGGGGAGGTGGCTCAGTGGTTAAAAATACTGCCTGCTTTTCCAAAGGACCATCGTTCAATTCCCAGCACCTACATGGCAGCTTATAACCATTTGTAACTCCAGTCCCAAAGGATCTGGTGCCCTCTTCTGGCCTCAGTGGGTACCGGGCACAAAAAACACCTATATACATAAAATAAAACATTGGGGGGTGTTCTTCATTTAGGCCTGGCGGTGGCTCAGTTTATAAAGTGCATGTGATGCAAGCATGAGGACCCAAGTTTGGAGGCCACACCTTCATTAATGCTGGAAAGGTAGACAGGAAGATCCCTGGAGCCTAGTGGAGTGGATGAGCTCCAGGTTCAGTGAGCCAGGGTTCTCTAGAGTAGCACAGCATACAGAATGAGCCCCTCCCCTCCTGTCTTCTCTTCCTACTCCTCTTTCTCTCTTCTTTCTTTCTTCTCATTGGAATGACTTACAGGCTGCAGTCCAGCTAACTCAACAACAGCTGGCTGTGAATGTAGTCCATAGGGCTGTGCTCAGTCCATAGGGCTGGATGTCTCAGGTGGTCTTCAGTATATGCTGGAGTCCTGAAGAACTAGATGAAGGAATGGATGTGCTACTAAGGCCAAGCAGGCAAAGAGCAAAAGCTTCCTTCTTCTATGACCTTATATAGACTTCCAGCAGAAGTTTTGCCCCAGATTAAAGGCGTATGTCTTCTCACCTCAAAGATCTGTACTAGAAGTGGATTCACCCACTTCAAACCAAGCAAAAGATCTCACAGGTGTGCCCGCCATTTCTGGATTATACTTCATTCCAGATATAGTCAAGTTGACAACTAAAAATAGCCATCATAATGAGGGGCCATATCTCCAAACAACAGGATGGAGGGCCAGTGAGACAGCCTACCAGGTCAAGGTGCTGGCTGCCAAGCCTAATGATCTAAGGGTAATCCCCTGAACACACATGACAGAACAATATACTCTCACAAGTTGTTCTCTGACCTCTACATGTGTGCCATGGCATATGCAGGTACATATTAAGTAAATAAGCAACCTGTAAAAGTAAAACTAAAATAAAGAATGATCTAGGAAGATGCCTGACATTGACCTCTGACCTCTATACACTTGCACAGCATGCATGAGCACCTCCATGCGTAAGAACTCAGGCATACAGACTGAAAAATAGAAAATCACAGTCCCCCAATGAGGCCCAGGTCCTCTTCACAAGAGGTTTTCTCAGGGGCTCAAACTAAGAATATGGGTGAGGATGAGAAATAAGATCAAAGGCACGTCTGGGAGCTGGGGAGTAGTTCTAGCTGGGGAGTAGTTCTACTTGCAGATAAACTAACTGGGAGGGCAGGTGGATGCCTATTTCCTTAATTTCTACCACTAGCCTGTTGTGATGGGTTTTGTTAAGACAATTGCTGAGCCAGGTGTGGTGGTACACCCCTTAATTCCAGCACTCCAGAGGCAGAGACAGGCAGATTTCTGATGCATTTATCTAATTATTCTTTATCAGTAAAAAATCAGGAGTAAGATATCAGGGTAAGAACCTGAATAATCAGAGAAGTGGCAGTGAAACCACCAGTGACCTACCTATGTCTTCTATTCCTCGATCCAAAAAGATTGAGATCCTCTCTAAGCCCTGCCTTACTATTTCCTGTCTCCTATCTGTCCTCAGTCTTCCAAATTCTATGGTTAATTTTAGTCAGCTAGTGGCTAGCTCCACCCTCTGATTCAAAGCAAGCTTTATTGTCATAATGCTATCAAAATATCACACAACAGATATCTAATTTTGAGGCCAGCCTGGTCTACATAGTGAGTTTCAGGCTAGACAAAACCACATAGAAAAACCATGTCTTGAATGAATGAATGGATGGATGAATGAACGAACGAACAAACGATAATTGCTGGATTTTACTTTTGCAGGATGGCATAGTAAATCCAACAATAAGAAAAGATTTGAAAACTGTCCCGAAATTCTATTGTTGTCCAATCAAAGGATGTCCTCGAGGCCCTGACAGACCATTTTCTCAATTTTCTTTGGTTAAACAGGTATGTCGCTTACTATACCTTTTTCAAGGTGGACATGTTATTTTTCTGTTGCTGCAGTAAAACAGCATGGCCAGCCTGGAGAGACAGCCCAGTGGTTAAGAGCATTGCTTGTTTTTCCAGGTTCAGTTTCCAGCAGCCACATGACAATTTACAAGTGTCTATAGCTGCAGTTCCAGAAAATCCAGCACTCTCTTCTGGCCTCTGTAGGAACTGCACATTTGTGGTACTTAAACTTATATGCACATAAAGTACCCATACACATAAAATCTTTTTTTAAAAACAAATAGGACTGGAGAGATGTCTCAGTGGTTAAGAGCACTGACTGATCTTCCACAGGTCCTGAGTTCAATTCCCAGCAACCACATGATGGCTCACAACCACCTGCCATAAGATCTGGTGCCCTCTTCTGGTCTGAAAGGACACATGCAGGCAGAACCCTGTATATACACAATAAATAAATAAAACCAACCTGATGAGTGGCCATCGTGGCAGGGAAGGGGGGCAAGTAGACAGGCATGGTGGCCAGAGCAAAAGCTGAGTGTTCACATCTTACACTGCAAGCAGGATGCAGAGGGAGCAAACCAGAGAGGGTGTGCCTTTGAAATCCAGAGCCTGTCCCCAGTGCCATACCTCCTCCAACAAGACCACACCTTCTAACCCTACCTACGCAAACAGTGTCACCAGTCAACTGGGGACTACGTTTTCAAATATCTGAGTGAGGCTGTGGGGCCATCCTTATTCAAGCCAGCACAAGGCCATACAGATGATGTAAACTCAGTTTGTGCTCTACCTGCTGAGCAGACATAACCAGGCTGTCTTGTGAGGAGGAAAGGATCTGGCTGCTGGGGAAAGAGAGGTTCCAGACTGAAGAGATTGGTCCTGAGGGCTGGAGAGAATGTCCAATGGCTAAAAGCACATTCGACTCTTGGAGAGGACCTAAATTCTGTTTCCAGCACCCACGTCAAGTGGCTTAAAGCCATGTGTAACTCCATGGAAATCTGATTTCTGGACCCACAGACACTTCTCATGTTCATATGCATGCACACATACATAAAAATAAAATTTGAGAAGCAAAAGTGAAATGATTCCTGAAGTTCTGCTGGAAGGTCTCAAGTAGGACATTGCAGAGACTGTGTGTCTTAGTCAGGGTTACTATTAATGTAATGAAACACCAACCAAAAGAGCAAGTTGGGAAGGAAACGCTTTATTTGGCTTACACTTCCACCTCATAGTCCATCACTGAAGGAAACCAGATCAGAATCTCAAAATAGCGCAGGAACCTGGAGGCAGGAGCTAATGCAGAGACCATGGAGGGATGCTTCTGATTGGCTTGCTCATCATGATCTACTCAGCCTGGTCCTGGGTTCTGTAAGATCCAGGACCACCAGCCCAGGGATGGCACCACCCACCATGGGCTGGCCCTTCCCCTATCAATCTCTAATTAAGAAAATGCCCTAAAACCAGAGCTTATAGAGGCTCCATCCTTTCAGATAATGCTAGCTTGTGTCAAGTTGGCATAAACCTAGTCAGCACACTGTATATATATCCTTGGCCCACGGCACTTAATGTGTGTAGTTAAGAGTCTGAATACACGGTTGGTTCCAAGGCAGCCTGCCCACTCTGCATATGGAGAGACATACGTTAAACTGGATTTTGTCTGCTTGGAAATGCTATACCTGGTGATAGCTGGGAAGTTGAGTGTGTGGGTGGATCTTAATGTGATGCTGTCTCCTGTCTTCATCCCAACTGTGTTTTTTGCAGCACTTTATGAAAATGCATGCAGAAAAGAAGCACAAATGCAGTAAATGCAGTAATTCCTACGGCACTGAGTGGGACCTGAAACGGCATGAGGAGGATTGCGGCAAGACCTTCCAGTGTACCTGTGGCTGTCCATACGCCAGCAGAACCGCACTGCAGTCTCACATCTACCGAACTGGCCATGAGATCCCTGCAGAACACAGGTAAAGCACAAAGAGATGGTATTGATAGCTGTGAGGGGATGAAAAGGGGACTTCCTGGGGAGCAAGCCACATAGGGAAACCAAGGGAACGGGAAACAGAACTTGTGGCTTTAAAAGGGTGGTTTGTTTTTTGAATAGCAGCAGTAATAACAAAAGAACGTGCCTTGGTCCAGGATCTCTCTTTAATTTCGTCTTTAAGGCTGGGCCTATGTCCTCCTCCTGCAACCTCTGGGTGCTGAGCTTGCAGATATGTACACCAGTGCCCAACACTGAGCCTGAGGTGCTGACCCACTTGCTTTGTACATATTGTTATTTTTACTTATATGTACATATATGTCAGTGTACACGTATGCAGGTTCCTAAAGAGGCTAGAAGAGGGCATTGGACCCCCTGGAGCTGGAGTTATAAGTGGTTGTGACCTGCCCAATACCCGTGCTGAAAACCAAATTCGGGTCCTCTGGAAAAGCAGCAAGTCTCCTTAACTGCTGAGCTAACTCTCTGGCACACAGTTCCTGAGGATCCCTTCCTATTCCTATTTGAAAATCTCAACTTTCAGCATCTTCTTTCTAGAGGAATGGATTGCTGAACGCTAAAAGTTGTATGAAACTCAGGGTTTCTTTTGTCTGCTTACTTACGTTTTATGGTACTGAGGATTGAATTCAGGGCCCCGTGAATGCTGGGCAAGTGCTCAGCTCTGAGTCACAGCCCATCCTCTTTTTACTCCTTTTTTGACACTGACCCTGAACGGACCTAAGACTGGTCTTAAACTTCTGCCTCCCATGTAGCTTTAAACTTTTTTTTTTTTTTTTTTGGTTTTTGGTTTTTCAAGACAGGGTTTCTCTGTATTGTTTTGGAAGCTGTCCTGGAACTCGCTCTGTAGACCAGGCTGGCCTCGAACTCACAGAGATCCACCTGCTTCTGCCTCTGCCTCCTGCGTGCTGGGATTAAAGATGTGTGCCACCAATGTCTGGCTCTTTAAAGTTCATTTTTAAAAATCAAATTTATATTTGGTGCAATGACTTTCTGCTATAGGTATGGTACTTTTAAGTTTCTTGGCCTGATTTTAAAGATCTAAGGGGCCAGCAGTGGATAAAGGCTCTTGCCTTCAAGCCTGATGACCTGAGTTGATCCTCAGGTCCCACATGGTAGGAGAGAACCAATTCCTGAGAGTTGTTCTGACCTCTACACAATACGTAACACATGTGTTCACACACAATAAATAAACGTAATAAAAAAGTAGAAGAATCTTTAAACTCCAAGTTGAGGATGGAGTGCATTGCATGTAACATGCCTGCAATCCTTTAGGAGGCAGAAGAGGTCCTAAAAGTTAAGGCCAGCCTGGAGAGAGGGCATGGAAATATTTCTGAATGCAAGCCAAACTCTCAGAGATGCCAGAAGGGATGTGTCGCCACTGTCTGGATCCCACCTCTCCTGTGAGAAATGGCATTAATGAGGAATGAAGATATAATGGCATAGCCAACGAAAGCTACATTTTTTTAAAAGATTTATTTATTCTGTATGCAGTGTTCTGTCTGTACATATGCCTGCAGGCCAGAAGAGGGCACCAGGTCTCATGATACGTGGTTGTGAGTCGCCATGTGGTTGCTGGGAACTGAACTCAGGACCTCTAGAAGAGCAGCCAGTGCTCTTAACCTCTGAGCCATCTCTCCAGCCTGAAAGCTACATTTTAGGGGCTAAAGAGATGGCTCAGTGGTTAGGAAAGCTTTCCATTCTTATAGAATACCTGATTCTGGTTCCCAGGACACGTCAGGCAGCTCACAATCACACATAACTCCAGCTCCAACTCCAAAGGAACCCTACACCCATTTCCAACCTCTGTGCCCATCTACACATACTAACACAGAGATACACGAATGTACGTAAAAAAAATTTAATAAATCTTGTTTTTTCATTTTAAAATTGATTTTATTTTTGTTTTGTCACTGTTTTCAGAGACCCACCTGGTAGAAAAAGAAAAATGGAAAGCTACCTGCAAAGCCAGAAGTTGTCCAGCACAACCATTGAACCATTGAGCGACCAGCCAGCCCCTCGCCAAGACATTCATGAACTGGAAGCGTCAGAAGTAAAGCTAGCTGCATCATTTGAAGACTCTTGCAGTACTCATGCCAAAAAGCAGAGCATCACAGCACCTCCCAGGTGCCCCCAGAAGTTGCTTTTACCGAAGCCTAAGGTGGCTCTGGTTAAACTTCCAGTCATGCAGTTTTCCCCTGTGCCTGTCTTTGTGCCTACAGCTGACCCCTCGGCCCAGCCTGTGGTGTTAGGTGTGGATCGAGGTTCTGCAGCAGGTACTGTGCACTTAGTCCCCTTGTCAGTAGGAACCCTGGTCCTCAGCCTGGATTCCCAGGCCTGCTCTCTGAAGGAGAGCCTACCTCTATCGAAGATTATCAGTCCTATTGTTGAGCCAGTCAGTACAGGTGTTCAGGTGAACTTGGGGAAAAGTCCTTGTGGTCCTTTACAAGAACTCGGAAATTCATGTCAGAAGAATAGCATCTCCTCAATAAACGTGCAGACGGATCTGTCCTACACGTCCCCCAACTTGATACCTTCTGCTCAGTGGCTCGGCCCCGATTCCTCTGTGTCATCGTGTTCTCAGACTGACCTGTCGTTTGATTCTCAAGTGTCCCTTCCCGTTAGTGTCCACACCCAGACATTGGTGCCCAGCTCAAAGGTCACTTCATCCATAGCTGCTCAGACTGATGCATTTATAGATGCCTGTTTCCAGCCAGGTGGGATCTCCAGAGAAACCCAAACCAGCAGGATACGAGACCCCACAGATGACCCTGTGCAGGTGGGCCACACTGGCCTGTGTGGGGACATTTTTGTCCATTCATCGTATAGTGTTCCCACGGACAACATCATGAGTAGTAGTTTAGTTTCAGAGACAGTAACTCATGGTTTGTTACCTCAGAATGACCCTAAGCTATTAAGCCAAGTCATTGAAAAGCCTGCACCCTTGTTACACTTCGGTGCCCAGAACAGCATGCTTCCCTCACAGAACATGACAGATAATCAGACCCAAACCATAGATCTACTGAGTGACTTAGAAAACATTCTATCAAGCAATCTGCCTGGTCAAGCGCTGGACAACCGGAGTCTTCTGTCGGATGCAAATCCTGGGCATGAGGGCCCGCTCCCATCAGGCTCAGGCCAGAATTCTGGGATTGATTTTGATATTGAAGAATTCCTCTCAGCCTCAAATATCCAGACTCAGACTGAAGAGAGTGAACTCAGCGGCATGAGCACTGAGCCCACCTTGGAGTCCCTGGACATTGAGACCCAGACTGACTTCTTCCTCACAGACCCCTCCACACAGCCCTATGGGTTCAGAGGAAGTTCAAGCTTCTTAGGCCTGGAGATGTTTGACACCCAGACACAGACAGACTTAAACTTCTTCTTAGACAGTGGTCCTCACCTGCCTCTGGGCAGCATCCTGAAGCACTCCAGCTTCTCCATGAGCACTGACTCTTCTGACACAGAGACCCAAACTGAAGGCACCTCCCCATCTCGACACACACCGGCTCTGGAGAGCAAGGTCCAGCTGAACAGCACAGAAACACAGACCATGAGCTCTGGCTTTGAGCCCCTGGGGAACTTGTTCTTCACCACCAACGAGACTCAGACAGCAATGGGGGACTTCCTTCTAGCTGATTTGGCTTGGAACACAATGGAGTCCCAGTTCAGCTCTGTGGAAACCCAGACGTGCTCGGAGCTGCACGCTGTCTCCAGTTTCTGAAGCTGTAGCCAGGCTCCCCTCTCCTTGCAGGTTTAGAAAATGGGAACAAGGACAGCCACACCGACTGGGGATGTAGTTGGTGGGGCAGCTGTTTAGATTCTCTGCAGTTCTTAACATTTTGTACGTGTGAACACAAGATTGGTGTACAAATGTGAGCGTATTATAAAGTGTAAGGTGTTGATCTAAAAAGCTTCAGTGTTGTCTACGTTTGCTCCTGTATAGCTTTTCTTTCCATCTTAAAAAAAAAAAGCCTTTCACACTGTAAAACTTAAACCATTTAACTGAAGCCAAGCCTACCAGCTAGTAGGGTGCAAGCTTTGCAACTGCTTTAACCTGAGTATAGCGCACTTAAATGGCACCTCCACGTAAACATCACCTCCAACGTTGGACAGTGCTCGTGTGGCCACCGACTGCTGTGCTGCCAGTCCCTGGCCTTGTCATGTCCCTCTGACTTGGAAACACTAAAGGAAGCCACTGTGTCTTTAGCTTTTATGACAGTTTTTACATAGTCACTGCTGTCCCTGCTTGTCCCTTGCTATTGTTGATCAAGAAGATCTCTGTGACCAGATTTGTGGGATTGCCACACGCCAACAGCCAGCCAGCCGTGAGTACACAGTGACTAGAGGATAGTCAGCTTCTTTCGGGCCCAGAGCCCCAGAGCTCCTAACGATCTATAATTGGGGTTCCTGTGACTCCCCATTCTTGGGCTCAGTTAATTTACTAGAGAGGCTTACAGAACTCAGGGATACAGTCAATTGCAAAGGATAGAGTGGATGAGAAAGGGGCATAGGACCTCCATGCCCTCTCTAGGCACAAAACTCACCAAGAATCTGCATATGTAGCCTTGCAGAAACCCTCCAAACCCAGTCTTCTGGGGTTAATGGCTACTTTGTTGTGTGGGTGGAGTTGCTTAAGTCATTGCCATTAGTGATGAACTTAACCTTGAGTGCCACCCTCCTCGCTGAGTTGGGAGAGAGGGATGATGCTGAAAATATCCCCACCTTCCAATCACTAATAATGCCTGGGTCTCTCCTGTGACTTGTCCCCATCCTAATGCTACCTGGAGGCTACCAGCTGTCAGTGGCCTCATAGCAAGCAAAAACAAAACATTTCTTCTAAATATTTAAGGGTTGGGGGGGTGTTGTGTGGACATACAACACTTGATATCATTACACCCACAAACTCCCCATTCCACAGTAGACCCTGGGGGCTACCCAGCTGCTCCCTGTAATGTACTCGAGTTAAAAAGGAAAAAGGGGGGTGAGGAACAGACATTCCTGCCAAGCCCCCTTTCAGTACTTTGCACTTCTAATCTGATAGGAGGAGCATGACCTACAAAGTCTTTCCTTCCATCCACCCCCAGCTTTTTCTTGAAGGAAGCACTTTGGTCTGGCAAGCATATTTGTGTACTTTGAGACTAGCAATTGTAGACTAGACCCATTTAAAGTATGCTAGTCTAGATTCTGTTATGATACATTCTTAAGGAGAAAAAGCTGTAGACCATTGACTTCAATAATCGGGAGTGACTTCTGCATTTTGAGAGAACATGACCAAATAAGCCTTGGGGACTCTGTGTCAAGTAGATCATGGATTCATAGTTGTTTCCCAACTCTCAGACAAACCAGAATGAGCACAGCCTGGGGAACCATCCAGTCTACCCTGGGAAGCCCTGTTCTGTGGTATATGCTTGTGCTGCCAAAAGTGAACCCTTAAAGCCTAAAGGACTGATGATTCATTAGGTAAATTGGTACTGCTATTGTTGTATCCCATTCACCCCATGCAAAGGACTCGGTAATGGGCTAATAACACATCCAGTAGATGAGTTCACCCCAGTAGCTAAACAGTGGTTTTGGTCACAGTTGCCTGTGAATGTGAGTTTCAGAACAGACATAAAGCCTTAACTTAAATTTTCTGTTGCTATGTTTTGGAATCGTCACTGCCTTAATGTTCAAGCATCTATTTAAGTCCTCCAACTGAAGGAGAAATGCATGTCTGCTCGTGGCTTTTTGTAAATATAAGTGCAGCGATCTATGGCTTCAAGTTTTTCTTTCTGTGGCAATGTCTCTTAATAGTGACAGAAAAAAATGGAGCATGTAATTGTCCTTTGTGTGCAAGAACTGTCCCAGCAAACAAACCCTTAGTCCTGGATTCCTAAGGGTATTTGTCAACACAAAGTTAGTGATTAAAGAGAAACTACAAGTCTACCTTCGGTGTGAATTTTGTACATACTCATGATGTAACTTTGTTGCCCTTTTTCAGAAGATGATAATGGAATGCTTATGATCGCTTGCTTTCATGAAAAGATAATGATAGTTTTACCTAAAAAGATACCCCCAAGGGATGGAGAGGTGGCTCAGTGGTTCAGACAACTTGCCACCCTTCCAAAGGACCCAAGTTTAATTCCCAGAACACATATCACAACAAGATGTAACTCTTGCTTCCAGGGATTTGATGACATTCTTCTGAATTTGGAGGTCAGCCCAACACATGTGCATACACACATTCATAAATAAAAGTATAAACCAGCATAGTGGGGCACACCTTTAATCAGGAGGCAAAGGCAGGCAGATCTCTGAGTTTGAGACTAGCCTGGTCTACAGAGAGAGTACCACAACAGCTGCATAGTGAGACCCTGTCGCAAAAATAAGTACATTTTTAAAAAGATACTCAATTACTAGTTTGTATTTTGATAGAGATATGATGTACTTTGGGAACTTTTTTAGGAAAATGTATTATTAACAATTCACTACAGTTCATGCACTTAGCACATGTGATCCTTGTGTGATGGACTACCTTTTCTTCCTGAACAGCTTAATAAAACAAGAGAGGCAGCAAGTCAATAGCTCTTTGCTTTGTCACTAATTTTCAGGAAAGACAAACCAGTGTTTCTATTCCCTTCTGATAAAGGAAAAATTTCCGTTTTTGTAACTTATTTGGAAGATACTGAGTCAAGTTCAAAGTTATGTTTTTCATTTGGAGAAAATGACCAGTAGTGGTCTAGCTGTGAAATCACTCTTGAAATTAATGGGGTTATGTTTTCATTTAATTTTTTTATGAACTTGATTACAGTGTTTATGATAATTCCAGGCAAACTTGCTTATCCCAAACTAGTAATATGGTAGTTGGGAAGATAGCTTAGCAAATAAAGCGCTTGCATTACACACATGAGGATCCAAGTGGACAGAGTAGACATGCCAAGTATGTAATCCCAGAAAGGAAAAGGGGCTGCCCAGAGCAAACTGGCTACAGCCTTATCAGCTTCAGCATGCTCTGAGCTCAATTGAGAGACCCTGCCTCCATGAATAAGGTGGAGAGAAATCAGGAAGACTCAGTATCAGCTTCCACATACACCCACACATGTGAACATACATGGAGACTATACAGACATGTGAAAATAAGCCTGCTAAATTCTCCAGATATTTGCTATCAGGTACTTTTTGTTTTGTTCTTGGTTTTTTTTTTGTGTTTTTTTTTTTTTGAGCCAGGGTAGTGCCATGTAGCCCTGGCCTGGTACTAGGCTGGTTTCCAATTTAGGTAATCCTCCTTTAGCCTCCTGAGGCTTCATTGGGTACATTTATACCAGTACCACTCATGCTAGCTCCAAGGCCTTTAAAGAGACTGAAGGAAGGGATATGTAACTTTGGCGTCAAGTGCTATGAAGTTGTGTTCTCATCTCGTCTCACAGTGTGTGTTGTCATCTGGAGTGTTCAAGTGTCATTGATTTGACACTGGGAGAGGACAACATAGACCCCTCCATAATCAATAACCAGATGTGACTCCCATTGTTAAAGGACATGAGTTTTCGTCTAGTTTCTACATCCAGATGCCTCCTAGTGTAGCACAAATACTAAGAACCCAGATAGATATTGGGGTTCAAGCTGAAGATAAGAAAAGCAAAGCATCCAGCCAGTAGCTTTCACTACCTCTACCAAGGCTGAAATGGAGACCTGGCTTCCCTGTGACTGGAAACCAAATCTCTCATGAGACCTTTGCTTCTTCCTTATATAACTCTCTAGTTCTGGAATTAAAGGTGTGAGCTCTGTTTCTCCTTTAGACTGATTCTCATGTAGCCATGGGTGACCTTGATCAAACTCATAGAAAGCCACTTGCCTCTGTCTACTGAGTCCTGGGATTAAAGGTGTGTGCCACCACTGCCCAGCTTCTATGGCTATCTAGTGTGGCTGGCTTTGCATTCTGCTCCCCAGGCAAACTTTATTAAATCATAAACAGTATATCACCACAGCTTAGTGTGATATTTTTAGGGCCAAAGAGTGACTCAGTTGTCTGGTACTCAAAGGGCCTGTTCGGTTACTCGGGCTGGATTTATCAGTCAACACACTGATGCTTTAGTTTACACATCAGGAGGCATGAGCTATGGAACAAAGGGAGAGGGGTCTCAGGCTCTTGGTTTTCAAGCAGTTCATATCACAGACTACATTGAAAAGGAAGTTTTTTCTTTCTTTTTATTTAGACAGAAAAGAGGAGATGATGGGAGATGTCGTTCTGTAAATCTGTCTCTTACTGGTTGTTGAATAAAGCATTGTTGGCAAACAGGGAAGGAAGACAGGTGGGACTAGCAGTCAAGGAGAATTCTGGGAAAGAGAGGCAGAGCGCAGACACCATGTAGACCACCAGAGTAAGAGATCCGGACCCTTTTCTCGGTAAGAGAAATAGATTAACAATTATGGGTTAAATACTTAGGTCAGAGATAGCCAGTAAGAAACCAAGCAAATGGCCAACAGCTTTATAATAAAAAGAAGAAGGGGGTTTTTAGAAGGACCAAGGTCCAAACTGGGTAATTGAATAAAGGACACTGCTTGAACCAAATCCAGCAAGGCTCCTTGTTCTTTCAAAAGACTTAGGGGAAAAATACATTTTATATTATCTTAGTAACAAAATAAAAACATTTGTAACTTGGTTCAAAATCTACAGATTTCACAGTTTAGCCTATGAGAAGCATATTGACTCTACCAGACCTCTATTAAGCTTCATTTCTTTGAAGCAAGTTAACATTACATGCTAGAGTCTACCAAAGGACAAAGGCAACAAAATGAAAAACAATTTTAATAAAATGATAGTCATAGTTCATAGAGTATATCTAAAATGAAAGTGAAGTTGAAAAACTGTATCTATGGTGACTTGTTATCTCCTCAAAGTCCTTCGCTCAACATGGGAAAAGACCAATTGGGTCTAGAATAGTGAGCTTCTCAGCCTGGCATGTGCAAATGAAACCTTGTTCTCAGCTTGGCATCTTCGTGCTGCTGCCACTGCTTGGAGCCATTTGAGCTCTGCTGTCTGGTGGTCTGCTGCTTTCCCATGCCCCATATGCAATGTGGACATGTGACTGCATCTCACATATGCTGATTGGAACTGATTTAAAACTGATCCCTGTCTCTTCTTTCCTGTGTTGAGCAGTTTCAGAAAATGGAAAGTCCATACTTCAAGAAGACCTTGGCACAAGTCAGTGCATCCGAATTGACTTGCCACAGACAGATATGTTAACAGTTCAAATTTCTCCTTGGCAGGGCTGGAGAGGTGGCTCGGTGGTTTAGAGCACTGGCTGCTCTTGCAGAAGACGTGGGTTCAGTTTCAGCACCCACATGGCAGCTCTCAACCACCCAAGAATCCAATTCCAGGGAAGCTGATGACCCCTTCTGACCTCCGGGCATGTGGTATACATACATACATGCAGACAAAACACAAACATAACTAATGAATTTTAATTCTCAGAAACTTTTCTCTAAAATTGAAATTTCCATATTATGTGTTTGAGAAATCATGCCAACCTTGGCAAACTGCTTTAGGAACTGTTTATACTGTTTTATTTCAGTTCACAGAAATTATTTTTGTCTCACTATATTTGAGAGTCTGGTACTGTTAGTAAACTACACTGGTTTCAATCCCTTTTGTACCTTGTTATATTTAGCAAGGTGTATTTTTGTGTTATTGTAGACGCTGAGTTGCACATACTACTGCAGGAAGAAGCTTCTCTGATGATGAGTAAGCAAGGTGCTGGTCTATGGGTTACTAGGAGTCAGTTTATTGCCATGTTCCTTCAGCAGAAGAGTAAGGTATGTTTTCTCCCAGATCAATTACCTAGTTAGTCTCAGGTTCTTGGCCATTTAACAGTGTCCTCTCTCTAGACCATGTTAGCTTGTTTCTCTGTAGATGGAGTCACCTCAGACCTTGTCCCAGCTTTTTTGTTGTTGCTGCTGTTGTTTTCCTGAGATTAGCTTGGGCCATCTACCAGTCCTGTGATAACTTGAGAGAGAGACAAAAAGTAAACAGAATCTGAGTTCCCATTGGGATTCGCAGCCACTGACCTCGAGGGGAACCCATGTGTCATGTGTTGAGCATGTTACGATGGAGGTACTGTATCTCTTCCTACCTAGAGGTGACAGCCTTGCTGCACCCATAGATCAGCACCTTGCTTACTCATCCCCAGAGAAACTTCCTGCAGTAGGTGGAAATTAAGAGACCCACAACTGAACAATGCACAGGGAGTTAAGAGACTTTAGAGCACTCTGTCCTAAATAAGATGTCTCCATCAGGCCCCACCTCTCAAGGCTCTCGATCTATTCGGAAGAATAGGCAGAAAGATTGGGGGTAATGGACGACTCCAAAGAAACAGTGTCTTCTAGACACAACAGGATTGATTAGTGCACGTATGCAGTCAGAGACTGTGGCAGTATGCACAGTTCTGCATAGGTTCAAGCCAGCTGGGATGCGAGTACTGAGACAGGAAGTAGACACCCTTAACCAGGAAGCTATTTGCAGCTGGTACTCACTGACAAAAGAAAAATGCTTTCTCCAATGCAGTGTCACTTGGTATATCAACTGCACTCTAAAGCAGACCCCATGCCCAGGAGTAGTTGATCAACACAAAACACACTTTGTGGACTTTTCAGTTTTGTTTTGACAATTTTTTGTCTCATTGGTCTTTTTAATTTTTGTGGTGTTTGTTTTTCAAAGTGAGAGGAAGAACAGAGTTGGGTGCAGGGAAGTGGAGAGATGTGGGACAAGTTGGAGGAAAGGAAGAAACATGAACACACACACACACACCACACACACACACACCACACACACACACACACACACACACACACACAGAAATATATTGGTCTTTTAGGCAGTGTTTTTCTGTGTAATAGCCCCCTACCTATCCTGGAACTAGATCTGTAGACCAGGATGGCCTTGAACTCACAGACCCACCTGCCTCTGCCTCCTGAGTGCTAAGATTAAAGGCATGCACCACCATCACCAGGAAATCAAAATATATTGTGTGAAAAAAATTTCTTCCCAAAATGCACCAACTTCAAGAAATGTAGTGAGAAACACATACTCCCTTTGAAGCACACTAGAAATTGTATGGTGCTTCTGAAAAGAAATTTATGTCGGGCATGGTGGTGCACTCCTTTAATCCCAGCACATGGAACGCAGAGGAGAGCTCTGACTTGAGGCCAGACTCGTCTACAGAGAGTTCCAGGACAGCCAGGGCTATGCAGAGAGACATGTCTCAATAAACAAACTACCAAAACAAAGGAGTTTATGAAGTGAATCAAGAGCATTAAAATGCCCCCATGCCTTTACCTACCACCTCGAAGGCCCAGGAATGAATTATACAATGGTATTTCACGTTTAACTTCCTCTAATTTGTCCCTCAGAACTTATCTATTATCTGAACAAAACACTTTCTAATTTCTTTTCTGATTTTCAGAAACATTTAATTATTGCTTATGTATATAGAAACACTCTTGCACTTGTCCATCATTTGTCTTGGAACCAGGGATTGAACTCAGGTCATCATGCTTGGTGGCAAGTGTCTTTACCTGGTGAGTTATCTCACCAGCCCCCAAAGACTTTCTTTCAAAAACTGTCCCACCAGGGGGTGGTGGTGCACACCTTTAATCACAGCAGGCAAAGGCAGGCAAAACTCTGTGAGTTCGAGGCCAGCCTGGTCTATAGAGTGAGCTCCAGAACAGCCAGAGCTACACAGAGAAACCCTGTCTTGAAAAACAAAAACAGAACAAAAAAAATTACCCCATGCACAAATGCCATAATGAAACCCATTACTTTGTATGCTTACTGTGTGAGCTGGAGAAATGGCCTAGTAGGAAAGAACACTGGATGCTCTTACAGAGGATTCCATTTCCAGCACTCACACAATGGCTCACAACCATCTGTAACTCAGGTGGCTGCTTTCCCAGTACATGTGTGTTTGCCTGCTTTACATTAGGGCTTACTCACGCTTCTGCTGCTTTAGAAAAGGACCTGGAGACACCCAGGTGGGCAGGCCCAGGGCCTGGGCTCTATGCCATAATGTCCAGATACTGAGACCTAGTTTCTTTTTGGGACAAATCAGGTGGCTTCTTTATTTGGAAAAGGGGGTGCAGGGATAGAATCTCTAGACTGCCCAGTATCCACCAATTAGCACGAGCATTATCTTCCTTAGCCTGTGTTGTGGCCTGTCCTTTCCTTCTTAGTTCCTTTGGCTGTTTGGGCTTTCTGGGTGTTGGGACTGCAGGCTTAAACTACCATTCCTGGATAGCATTTTGGTTTTTTGTTTTCAAAAAGTCTAGGCATTGTGGCACTTGGGAGGCTGAGGCAGGAGGATGCGTTCAAAGCTACCTCAAGGCCAGTGTGAGGAAGATGAAACCAAAACACTAGAAACTATGAAAACAAAACAAAAATAAAAATTTAGGCTAATAGACAACATGTTATAGACCAATGATGTAAACCCGATGTCTACAGCCATGTTCAGTTATCACTGAGGAGATGGAAAAAAATCCAAGAGTTCAAGTACAGCCTACTCTAAGCAATTCAAACTAAGCAATTCATTAAAGCAGTTTAATGATTACTGATATCACAAAATGGTCAGAGCATCTGTTCACATAGAAGTACCACTTGGCATTAAAATATAATCCATTTACATTTAATATACAACTCAGGGATCTATGTACCAGTGAAAATAAGATGAAGGCAGAGGGAAGACAGAAGGAAAAAAGTAACAGCTTCATTCCCTAACTGTCTAAAGGCTAAGGATTCCCAAATACTAGAGGCAAGTTGAGGCTGGAGAAGGGGGGTCAGGCCAGGTCACAATGATCAGTGAACTTTTCTCCCCAAACAAAGTTATTCCTCACCTGCTCCCCAGGCTGGATTTTATTAATCTGTGACTAAGTCTTCCAGGCACTGAGGTTAGCCCAAGGCTGCAGTATGAGGATGTGACCTCCCAGGCAGTGGAGGCACTGGGCAATGCCTCCCTGAATAAAATACAAAGATACAGCACCTTAGACACTGGGTGTCCTCTTTAAGCTTAAGGCACTGCTGCTGTGGGCAGAAGCCCTGTCAGGTGGCTCCTGGGCTACTAGAGTGGGGGTAGCACAGAGCACCTTTCCGACACTCCACCCCTCACCATGGGAGCCACAGGGCAAGGAGAGGGCCAACACAGGCTGGCCCAACTTAATTTTGTAAATGGCTTAGTAGAAGAAGCAGGTAACATGAATACAGTGGGTTCTTCTGTTTTTAATTGGATTAAAAAAAAGTGTCTTTTACAGCCCAGGCTGGCCTTGAACTTTAGCAGCCTTCTGCCTCAGTCTCCCAAATGCTAGGATTATAGGTGTATGTCACCACATCTAGTCCAATATGGTGTTTGAGGGTGAAAACAAACCCATTCAAATCTGTTCAATTTCCCCTGGTTCTGCTACTGAAGGAAAAAAAAAAGAATGGGTAGGGAGTGGAGAGGATAGAGAAGGGAAGAGAAAGGAAAGAACACTGAAGAATAGACAAGAAAAGGAGAGGGGAGGGAGAGGGAGAGGGGAGACAAATGAGCTTCAGGCAGCACTTTTCCCAGGAAATTCTATTGTGCCAAATCAGAGGACTCTGTGAGTAGAGACGGGGATGACAACCCTGCTTACTGTAAGGGACGGCAAGAGAGGTTTGGGGAACATCTTATGCGACAGTGCTTGGGACCTGGTTTCCTGCTTGGCCGCTGTGAAAATGTGCTTGTGAAGGTTCCTGGGGGGCCTGGGCTCCTTGGCTTTGTGCCTGCTTCTGCAGCTTTGTACTCTCTGTTTATGCAAAAGTTGCAAGGTGGCAAGATAGTGGATGTTGGTGGGGTTGGATGGGCACATAGAGCTTTTCTGGGGCAGGAGGGACCAGTGCAGGCAGCATTTCTGGGACTCTGCTGCCAGCAGGTGTGTGTGGGCCACAGGCGGAGGGAAAGGCAGTATGTCAGTGACCTTCACGCGGCTGGCCAGCTCAAAGTGTCTCTTTTCACCTTTCCCATCAAGTGTTTTCAATTCATCTGTACAAGCCGCACACTCATCCTTTTCCACCCTTATTGAGTTTTCTTCCGGCTGCCAGGAAATATTGCTGTTCTTCTTACTCAGGGCATCCAAGCTGTTGGGGTTAGAGTTTTTCAGTGGGGGCAGAACCACAAGGGCCTTAGATGTGAGGGAGTCGGAGAGGGAGAGGCTCCGGTCAGCGCTTCTGCAGGGGTTTCTGTAGGTCTTGCCACTAACTGTTTCGGTAGCCCATTCTTCCATGCACCAGATAAATTCCTTGATTTGCAGGCTTTTTTTTTCTCCATGCATGTATGTGGGAAAGCAGAGTTTTTTAGGCTCTCTGGGAGCAGTGCTAGGGCCCTGGGAGTTGCTGTCCCAGCTCTTGTCAGGGTTCCAGCTCTTCTCGGGGCTCACCTCAGCCACAGAACCGGCCTCTGGTTTCCCAACCTCTGACAGGGAATGAACCTCCAGACTCCCCTGAGAAAGACTCATGCAGAACAAGCAATCGCTGCTGCTACCAGTGCCTTCTCCTACCCTCCCCTTTTTCACTTTCTTCCTTGACCAGATGCAGGCAGTGGGTGATGTCCTTCCCCAACCGTGGACCTGCAAAAAAAGTAGTGTGTTACACTCTAGCTAGCTGTGCCAGGACTCTGCTTCCCCCATTTTGACCAACACTCCTGTTTTTTCTTAAAATTGACTTATCTTAAATACACACTCACCCCCCACACACACACACACAGAGAGAGAGAGACAGACACCAACAGACACACACAGTCTCATCATGTAGACTAGCTGGCCACAAACCTATAATACTCCTGCCCTGTACTTCTAAAAAGTAAGCAAAACTGCCACCCTTTACTGTTTTAGTCTCACATAAGCAATGGTATTACAGTCGTATATGCCAATCTCAAGTACTAGGAGGAGGAGTTGTTTACTGAAACACTGGGCAGTGGCACCTGTACAAAGCCATTGGAGTACTGACTACAGCTCCCTTCAGTCAAAATTCAGTGTAGCACTATGAACCCAAGCTGCCATTCTCATCCAAGAATCTCTTATACTGTCAGTCAGTTTCCCAAACACAAGGAAGACTGCTCAGAAAGGCTGGAGGGGCGGCAAGGAACAGAGGCAGTCCTGGAACCCCAAGATACCTGAGTGCCTGAAGTACATACAACTATACCCACCTGCCCCTGAAGACCCTAGCTGTGGCTGCCATCTAAAGGACAGGATCTGTTATAAATGTAACACTAAGTAGTCAGAGATCATTCATCTGAAACTCAAATGGGGCAACCTGTATTTTTTGTTGTATAACCTGGAAACCCTGCATTTAATCTTGGATTTAACCAAGTTTCCTTATTTAAAATTTTTATTTAGAAAGAGAGAGTAAGTGTATGTATGTGAATTCGTATGTATGTGAATTCATGCAGACATGTATGATATATGTGTGGATAAGCATGCCATAGTGTAAGGTCAAAGAATTTTGTGGAGTCCATTCTCTCCTTCCACCTTTCTGTAGGTTCTGGGGAGCAAACTCAGGTCTCCAGACTTGCACTGCATATGCCTCTACCTGATGAGCCATCTTGATGGTTCACAGTTCAACCAACCGAGTCACAAGGCCCCACATTCCTTATGAAATTGTGCTACCAAGGCACCTGCCATACAGTTTTGAATGTTGACTTCCACTCCTGGCTCTGAGAAACCACAGGGCTCTAGAGAATCAGGAAGATATAGCCTATGGGTCTCTCTGGCCCTGAACATGCATCTGGGACCTGTATGCCATGTTATTGGTGGAGTGATCTCTGAATACCACATTTCACATACTGGGTGCCTCAGCATCCTCATTCACAGATGAGGCCTCAGATGACTACTGGGATGTTGAAAGAATAACTAAATGCTTAGCTGTCCTTGTAAAGCTGTCCCATGTGTGCCCACAAGCACAGTGTTGTCACTCCATTTCACTTCTGCCCCAAGGCTCCTATAGTCACTCCAACATTTTTGGTAATTTAAACTACTTTGGAAAAAGATCTGCAGCAAAGAACCAAGTAGACACTCACGGCTTCTTCCCACCCAGTGCTGACGGTAAACTCGACGGCCCGCTCATCCTCTTCCAACGTGAGGTCGCTGACACCAAGAAGACAGCAAACATGATTCTTTTCACTTTTCTCATCTGGACAACTTAAAATCAGTACAGTCTCTTCTGCGCTTTGAGTTTTCTTATTTTCATTATTTTCTACAACAATCTCACTTTCCTGACAGAAATCCATTACTGGGGTGATTGCTTATAGTTTTTAACATCTTCTTCCTGCAAAGCCCAATTAAACTTGGTTTTATTATTAATTGTTTTTAAATCAAGTCAGTATCTCAAGTGAAATATTTTAATAAATTCAAGAAGACTGAGAATAAACATTTCATAATAATCCATTTCCAACTGCTGACAGTGTGTGTGTGTGTGTGTGTGTGTGTGTGTGTGTGTGTGTGTGTGTGTGTGTGATGGGGTGGAGGAGCATGCCACGGCACTCTAATGGAAGTCAGAGGACAGTTCTTTCGCCTTTCTTCTTTTGCACACAGGAGTTTTTTTTTGTTTTGTTTTGTTTTGTTTTGTTTTGTTTTGTTTTGTTTTGCACTCAGATCACCAGGCTTGTGAGGTAAGTACATTTACCTGCCAAGTCATCATCGGCCAATGCAAGATTGAGGAATTTAATAAAGACCAAAGGAATGAAGAAAAGACAACTGAAGACACTAGCACTGGCTCTATCTCTGCTTAATGTTACAGAGTTAACAAGGGATGCAGGTGTACGAATGGTACTGTGCTGACATCAAGAGAGCAGTGGACACTCACAGACTTCCAGGATTCATCCGTTCCCAGAACCCTTGGAGTTGGCTGGGGTTCACAAGCTTCCAAGGAAGTTCTCCTTCCTACACTGGTTTCTGCACACCAGCAACATCTTCTGGCCTACATGCAGAGCAAGACTCTGTCATGGGAAGTGGGTGTGCAGGCTGAGCCTGTGGAACCTGAAAATGTCTGCATCCCAGTCACAAAGTACCCAATCTGGACAGAAAGGGGAAGAGTAGCTGATCCCACTGTCTCCACAGCTCACAATCCAACCAAAGCCCCCATGTTCCCTCTTACAGAGTAGCCATTTCCAGCTCTTGAAGTACAACTCAAGTCATGAGAAGAATCTGAACGTGTCTATACAGGATGCAGTTTGGAGTGACATGCTGCAGTAGAAACTGGAACCTGTGGTGGTCTCAGAAGATGGTCCAGCTGCATTCCATGGACACACAGCAGCAAAGGAAATTCAATAAAGTAATGTATATATTGGTTATAAACAATGTTTTTTATATGTACTTCATTCATGACCTGTACGGACTCCTTTTACATAAGGAAAACTAGTCAAAATTTGGTCAGATCAGTGAACAGCAATTCATTCCATTTGAGAACACTGAGGCTCATTTATTTATTTGTTTGTTATTTATAGTTTTTCAAGACAGAATTTCTCTGTGTAGCCATGGCTGTCCTGGAACTATCTCTGTAGCCTAGGCTGGCCTCAAACTCAAAGTCTGCCTGCCTCTGCCTCCCCAGTGCTTGGATTAAAGGGATATGCCACCACCACCCTGTGAGAACACTGAGGTTCTTTAGGTTCAACGTGCAAGAGAATGTGGCTGCCCTTTTCACAATTGAAAAAACAATCAGGGCCAGAGAGATGACAAAAGCCCTGTGCAGTACAAGACTGATGACCTGAGTTCAATCCTCAGAAGCCACGGAATTTAATTAAAACAAACAAAAAACAAAAGAAAAAACCTGAGGTAGTGATAGGTATCTGTAAATCCTCCTACAACCCCAGTGAAATGGGGGGGGGCATTGACAATGGAACCTCCTAGAAGCTTGTTAGCCAGCTAGTCCAGAATACACAGCACAGCAGAACAAAAACAGGAGCAAGGAGAAAATCAACTACAAAAAGCTGTCTTCTGACCTCCACACACTGGTCTGGGCACATTTGAGTATACCCACACACACTAATGAATACATTTTTATTGTTTTAATTATGTGTACATGTGTGGAGGGGATAATTTGCATGTGAGTACCATGCCCATGGAGGCCAGAGACATAGATTCCCCGGGAACTGGAGTTATAGGAAATTATAAGGTACCTAATATGAATGCTAGGAACTAAACTTGATCCTCTGCCAGAAGAGTTGGTGCTCTTTTTTCCAGCCTCAAAATTAAAAAAAATAGCGGGGCAGTGGTGGTGCACACCTTTAATCCCAGCACTCAGGAGGCAGAGGCAGGCGGATCTCTGTGAGTTCGATACCAGCCTGGTCTACAAGAGCTAGTTCCAGGATAGACTCCAAAGTCACAGAGAAACCCTGTCTCGAAAAACAAAACAAAAAAATTTAAAAAATAAACCAGCTCATGACTTCAATTTTAAGTGTTCCTCCTATAAATACACCTCCAACTTTTGTTACCTATTCTTGTCATCTAATACACATTAACAGTTAACAAAAAGCAAGGACAGCCAGGTGGTGGTGGTGGTGGTGGTGGTGGTGGTGCATGCCTTTAATCCCAGCTCTGGAGAGGCTGAGTCAGGTGGATCTCTGTGAGTTCAAGGCCATCCTGATCTACAGAGTGAGTTTCAGGACAGATAGGGCAAAACAGGTAAACCCTGTCCTGAAAAACCAATCAAACAAACAAACAAACAAACAAAACCCAAAAAGCAAGCAACAGCAAAGCTGGGCATGATGGTATACATCTGTAATCCTAGCACTTGGGAGACTGAGACAGGAGAAGTTCAAGGCCTATTCCAGGCTTTCCTACCACCCTCCCCCACTGCCAGCACCAAAATAAAAATAAAATCACTGAAATAATAGATTGTGATTTCTTTTCTTTCTTTTCCTTTTCCCTCTTTTTTTAATTTTTCAAGAGAAACCTCTGTGTAGCTTTGTAGACCAGGATGTAGACTGTGATTTCTATTTTGAAAAAAAAAAAGAATGTGGTTCTTTTTTATTATTATTTTGTTTATTTTGGGCTTTCCCTTTAAGATTTGCTTATTTATTTGGGGGACGGAGAGACTGTTCAGTGATTAAGAGCATTTGCTGCACTTGGAGAGGACCCATGTTCTGTTCCCAACACCCACACGGCAGCTCACGATTGTCTGTAATTCTAGTTCCAGGGAATTTGATTCCTTTTTCTAGCCTCTGCAGCCCTGGACACATGTGGTACATGTACACACATGCAGGTAAACACTCATATTCATAAAATAAAAACAAAATTCTATCAGATTTATTTATTTTATGTGTACTAGTGTTTTGTCTACATGTACATATGTAAACTCGGTGTGTGCCTGGTGCTGTGGAGGCTAGAAGGGAGCATTGGATCCCCTTGAAATGGAGTTATGGACAACCGTGAGTCACAATGTAGGTGCTGGGCATCAAATCTGGGTTCTCTGCAACAAGTGCTCTTAGCCACTAAGCCAGCTCTCCAGCCCCTCTAATGTGTTTTGAGACAGAGTTGGAATTAAACTTGAAGCAAACATCCTGCTTCTGCTTCTCTGGTACTTCAATGCCTGCCTTGGGGGTTCTCACAAATTATAATCAGATTTACTCTTCTGTTAGAATGCAGAAGTTTGTATTGATTATATTCATTTTAAAATTTACTTATTTTTTAATGTGTATTGTGTTTTGCCAGTATGTATGTTTTGTCACGTGCTTGCCTTATATGTTAGGAGACCAGAGGAGAGCATTGGATCCCTTGGACTGGAATTATAGACAGTTGTTCACCACCATATGGTATTGGGTTGAACCTGGGTCCTCTGCAAGAACAGCTTTTAACCTCCTTAGCCATCTTTCCATATTCTCCATTTCCAGTCCATATTCTCCATTTTTTTTTGAGACAGGGTTTCTCTGTGTAACAGTCCTGGCTGTCCTGGGACTCCCTTTGTAGAGCAGGCTGACCTTAAACTCACAGCCTCTGCCTCCTGAGTATTGTGATTACAGGTATTGGCCAGCAAGCCCAGGGCTTCCAAAATAAATCTCATGTGAATATGTGTTGTGGGCCTCTGTCATAATCCAGCTCCAGCAGAATCACGTCCTCGTAGAGAGGACGTGACTCTAGACCACCCTGCTACCCCTGCTGATATAAAACAAATTCCAGAAACAGGCCTGTGGCTTAACTGTCAGTTAAAGATTAGCTTAATGGAGACTCCCTAGTCCGTTAAGAGATAGGCCTAAATAAAGACAATAAATTGTAAGAGATAGGATCAGACCCTGCTGTCAGGTTACCAGGCAACACAGGATGCTCTACCCCTCCCACTGACCTCTTGCCCTGCCAGCTTCCTTGCAGCTGTAGTACGCCCCCATTCCTTATCCCCCTTGCTTCCCCTATATAAATCCCTTTGGGATGAATAAAGGTTGTTGACTTGATCAGAATCTTGTCTTGCCATCCTTTCTCATATCTCTTGTCCTTCACCTCTCTCCTAGGTGTCTCCCAGACCTACGTTGAATGTCCCGAGGGTCGGGACATGTGACCAGTGAATGTGTGTACAGGAGTGTGCACATCAGGTATTCTGCTCACCTGGCCTTGTTCCCTTGAGACAGTTTCTCACTGAACTTGGAGCTCACCATTTTCAGGTTAGACTGCCTGGCTAGCAAGCCCAAGTATTTCTCCTAGAGTCATATCATTCGGTACTTGCCACACAAGCTTAAGGAACAGAGTTCAGATCCCTACCATCTACACAGAAAACATGCACTGTGAGCCGGGCGTTGGTGGCGCACGCCTTTAATCCCAGCACTCCGGAGGCAGAGGCAGGCGGATCTCTGTGAGTTCGAGGCCAGCCTGGTCTACAAGAGCTAGTTCCAGGACAGCCTCCAAAAGCCTTGGAGAAACCCTGCCTCAAAAATCAAAAAAAAAAAAAAAAAGAAAAAAAAAAAAAGAAAACATGCACTGTGTGATACATGCCTTTAATTACAGTGCTGGAAAGGCAGAGACAGGAGGATCCTTGGGGCTTGCTGGCTAACCAGCCTAACCCAAATCAGAGAACTCTGGATTCAGTGAAAGAACATGTCTCAAAATAATAAGGTGGGTGAGGACTGGAGAGATGGCTCAGCAGTTAAGAGCATTTGCTACTTTTGCAAAGGACCCAGGTTTGGTTTCTGGCACTGAACTCACAAGAACTGGTAATTCCACTTTCAGTGGATATGACACCTTTTCCTGGCTTCCATGAGCACCTGGCACGCCCACAGTGCACATACATTTAAACAAAGCACTCATATACATGAAAGTAAAATAAATCTTAAAGTTATATACATATAAAAAATAAGGTAGGGAGAGGTGCCCAATGTCAACTTCACATTCAAGCATGTCTGAACACACACACACAAAGACACATAAGGAGTATGGTTGTAGTTCAGTGGGCTAAATGTGTTCAGTACATCAAGATGCTGTGTCCCTACAGTAGACACAACTTCAAACACAGCACAGCTCCAAAACATTTTGATTTTTGAACTATCAACTGATCAGCTTAGGTAATTCAGAATGTGACTCTGATATCCTACAGTTTGATCGTTTGCCTTAAAAGGTCTTTATTTTTGCCAGGTATGGTAGCACACACCTTTAATTCCAGCATAAGGGAGGCAGAGGGATGTGAATTTCTGTGAATTTGAGGCCAGCCTGGTCTATATAGTGAAGTCCAGGATAGCCAGGGGCACATAGAAAAGTAGAAAAGTGCTCTTTCAGAGGACCTGGGTTTGAATCCCAGCACTCACATGGTATTCACATTATTCTGGTTCTAGCCCCTGAGATACCAAGCACCACCATGGTATCCAGACATACACCCAACAAAACATACACATAAAAAATTTAAAGAATGAAACAATAGGAGGATAGAGATATACTTTTGTAAATGGAGCGGTTGAACAACACACACAAAGCACTGGGTTCCAACCCCCAGCAACCAGGCACGAGGAAGATGTGGGTAGGAGGATTAGAAGTTTAAGGTGATCCTTGACTAACAAATTCAAGGTTAACCTGGGATACACAAGACCCTATCTTAAAAAAAAAAAGTTGGCCTAGCAGTGGTAGCACTTCCCTTTAATCCCAACACTCAGGAGGCAGAAGCAGGTGGATCTCTGTGACTTCAAGGCCATCCTGTTCTACAGAGCAAGTTCCAGTACAGGCTCCAAAGCAATACAGAGAAACACTGTCTCGGAAAAAAATGTTAATTTCTATTCCAATTATCAACTATACACATCTACTTGTGTTGAGGGGTTTTTGACCTCTGCAAGAAAAAGTTGTATGGTTGATTACTTAAGTGTGCCACACAAATAAAGTGGTAGTGTACACATCTGCCTTGGTCAGTGCAGTCAGAGTATGACTAATCTGAGATTCCTATTATCTGGCACATCCTAATCCATCAGCAAGCATGGAAAGCAGATTGACTGGCAAGAGACAAAGGCACAGGGAACTGAAGGCAAAAGCATACTGCAGATGCCAAAGGCAGGCTGGTTCCTCCTTACCACCTTGCCACAGCTTCCCATCGCTCTACACCTCTTCTTACTACGGCTTTAAGGGAATCATGTATCAGCTGTCGAAGCACGAGACTCAGCAACTCAGATAGTTGAGGCAGGAGTATAGCAAGTTCCAAACTAGCGTGGGCTACATAGCAGGACTGTCTTAAATAGACAAAGATAATAAAATAAAATAAAAATATCTTCCTACGTCAATTAGCTGTAGCATACAGCCTACGGGGGTACAGCTGCCATGATGAAGCACACCTTGAATTCTTAGGGCATGTACTAATACTCCTTGAGATCAGGCCATTTCTATTTCAACCACTCACAACTCCTGCCAGTTTTCTCTTTTTGCCTAAGGTCTCGATTTTGTTTTTGGCAGGGTCTCATTTTACCCTAAAATTTTCGACTTTCGTCTCTGAATTCGCTAGGTTCCAAGGCCCGAGAGGATGGCCTTCCGAGGGTTCCCAAGGTTCAAGACGGACAGAAACTACAATCCCGAATCCTGGCTTGCACCAGAACTTCTCATCTGGTTCCTCCCTCGAACTATTGGTTCCATCACACTCCTTCCTTCACTCGGCAAAGCAGCCTCAGTTCATCAGGCTCCTCCCCTTCCTCCCAGCGGATCCTACCGGGCCACACACTGTTGATTTGCCCTTCCTTCAGGCCGACCCCGATGGCTGCACCAAGATCCTCCCTTGAAGTCTAGGCCACGCCCCCCAGAAGGCCACGCCCATCACACTGCTCCTCCCCCGAGGGCCGCCCGGCTTCCAGGCCCCGCCCAATGCAGGCTCTCCGTCAGCCGAACTTCCTTTTCATCTAGCTTACCCGCTCCGAGTGTTGCTTCCTTCCTCGGTTCTGCCACCCGCGAAGTGTCCTGGGGGCTTTTCCCCCGGGGCGAGGATGTGGACACGGCCACTCAGACGCTCCGACGGGGCCGCGAAGGAAGGAAGGCCCGGAGCGGCTTGTCCCCCGCTGGCGAGCTAGAGCCAAGCCGTTGCCCTAGGTTACAGCCGCGTCGGGGGCGGGCCGGAGGAGGGGGCGGCTTGGCGGAAGTGACGCAACGCCTCAACAAAGCCGCTCAAGGAGCGTTCCCTTCGTGCTGTGCGCGTTGCCTCCAGCGGTCTGTGGGGTAGTTTCCGGCTTCTGGCAGCGGCGCCTGCGCGTCGTGATGTCTCGTCTGGGAAATTGCGGCCCGCGTGCTGTCAGGCGGCTTCGAGGGTTTTTCGCTGTCGACGTTTTGGGCTTTGGGAACAGCCTTTTGCCTTCCAGAAGGGACTCACCAGATGCCAGGCAAACAGTATCTGCAGATTTGACACTTGCCCCTTCGGGCAGAAGTCTCCCTTCTTGAGATCCCGCGTGCTAGTGGAATGCATGCCCAGAACTTCATGAGAAGACTCGTTTTCTGTTTGCGTATTTCTGAGACAGGGTCTCACTTGCTGTATAGCCTGGTATGACCTCAGACTCCCGGCAACCCTCCTTCCTCGGTCTCCTGAATCAACATTAAGGGGATTACGGGCGTGGCTTCCACATCTGCTAATATGAGGGATTTCTTGTTTTGTGCCTTTCAGTGCCACCTGCTTTTCTGGGGCAGCGGCAGCTAGCATTCACTGAGCTTTTGGCAAGTTGGCCCCCACCTTCTGCCATGCTGCTCTGGTTGCTTTTGAGCACTGAAATGACATACCCCAGGCTGGAAACCTATGCCTGAAGTGAAGCATTGAGTGTTAAGTCTAGCGCCCAACTCAGGTGTAGTTCCAGGGCCCCGCTTCTTTCTGATTTAAAAAATATTCCTGCAGTAAGAGAGCAAGTCTCCAGTACCACTGTGACTCAAAGGCATTTGGAAAATAACTAAGAATGACTACTTTCCCGATTTATGGGATATGTGTGGTACTTATTCAATGAGATTGGAACAAAGTCCTCTTCTAACATGTGACTACTTGTTAAGGTATTTCCCCGTGTCTGTATATGTTGCTATCCCAATATATTTCATAACATAGAAACAATGGTATCTATATGTGTTGCCCGTGTGTATACATTTGTGCTGGGCAGCAGTAAAGGCATGATCAAAGTTAGCTTTTTTTTTCCAATGCTGATGAGCAAACCCAGGGCTTCATGTGCTGGTCAGTCACCAAGATGTGACTCCATTCTTCTGTATTTTGAAGTAGGGTCTCATGTTGCCTAGTCTGCCCAGCTCCCCACCCCTACCAAGTCCATGTCTTCCCTTTGTCAGTGAATACTAGAATTACAAGCATGTCCTACCACATCTGCCCACTTAAGCGTAATTTTTTAATTATGTATTTTATTTTATGTGCATTGGTGTTTTGCCTGCATGTATGTCTGTGTGGGAGTGTCAGATCTTAAACAGACAGGTATGTGGGTGCTGGAAATTGAACCTGGGTCCTCTGGAAGAGCAGTCTGTGCTCTTGACCCCTGAGCCATCTCTGTAGCCCCTCAATCGTAATTTTTACAACTGAAAGTCTTTTAAACAACCACAAAAAAATCCCAGAAATTTGGGGGGATTAAAATTTCAATCTGCTGAGGAACTGAATGTGTTGATTAGTTCCTGTACTGAGTGTTTTCAAATGGTTCTAAAACCCAATATGGTCAACTACCTTCAAGGTGTTTGTGAGGTTTTGTTGTTGCTTTGGTTTTGTTGTTGTTTTATGTTTTAATGCTTTCTGAACAATCTCTTTATTTTGGGGGTTTTGTTTTTGGTTTTTTTTTTCAAGACAAGAGTTTCTCTGGGTAACAGCTCTGGCTGTCCTGGAACTAACCCTATAGACCAGGCTGGCCTTGAACTCACAAAGATCTGCCTGCCTCTGCCTCCTGAGTAATGTGATTAAAGGCATGTGCCACCACTACCCGGCCTTCTTTCTTTGTTTTTGTAAAACTTTAATATTTTTAAATGCTTAAAACTTTTCAGTGCATTTTATTGGTGCACTACTTCTATGCCTGGTATACACGGAGGCCAGAAGGGGATTGGATCCTCTGGAACTGGAGTTACAGGCGTTCATGAGCCTCCATGTAGGTGCTGGGAATTGAACCCAGGTCTTTTATAAGAGCAACCAGATCTTTTAACCACTGAACCATCTCTCCAACCCCCCTGTTATATTTCTGAGGTGTTAATTCTTTGAAAACATTCTTCAAGAAATGACAAAGACTAAAGCAAACCAGCAAGGCAAAGGAAGAAAAAAAAAAGTATTCTTCAAAAACTTGAAGTCAGGCCGGGTGTGGTGACACATGCCTGTCAGTAATCCAGATCTTGGCGGAGGAGAGCAGGAAAACCTGGAGCTCGAGGTTCCTGGCTATTTAAGCCAGCTATGGTGGCAGGAGTGCTTCCCCTGCCAAATGTAAGCACTGTCCCTGGAGACCTGTGGCTACCAGGTTCCTAGACTACTCTGGTGGCTGAAATCCCTTGAGGCACAGAAGTGGCCACCCCCACCCTCTCCCAGTTCTTATTAAGGTTCCCAGCCCCTCAAAACAGGAGAGTGGCCAAGAAAAAAAAAAGCCCATCCATCCCTGAGCCTGCCCCAAAATCAGGCCACATAATCCCTCCAATCCCAGGCCACCCAGGAAATTGTGTGTCTGTTCTTGTCGTCCCCACGGCCAGCAAGAAACCCTATATAAGCTACATGTTCTGCCTGGTTCTCTGCTGCTTCTCTCCCCACCACCCCACACCCTAGCAGAAACCAATAAATCTCTTGTGTTAAGGTATTTCCTTAGGTCCCAACTGCCAGGGTACCTTTCCATCTGAGCTGTAACACTTACAAAGGTTACATGGCTACATCCTCCACACCAGCCTTGGCTATATGAGAGCCTGTCTCAAAAACACAAAACAAGCCGGGCGGTGGTGGCGCACGCCTTTAATCCCAGCACTCGGGAGGCAGAGGCAGGCGGATCTTTGTGTGTTCGGGCCAGGCTGGACCGATAGCCTCCAAAACAATACAGAGAAACCCTGTCTCGTAAAAACCAAAAAAAAAAAAAAAAAAAAAACCACAAAACAAGCCATACTGTGGTGGCACTCATGAGGCAGAGGCAGCTGGATCTCTGTAAGTTCAAGAACACCCTGATATACAGAGTGAGTTCCAGGACAGCCAGGACTACCCAGAGAAACCCTGTCATGACAAACCAAACCAAAATAAAACAACAAAGTATGGCTCAAACCTGAAATCTAGCACTACAGAAGCTGAGGCAAGAGGATTGCCATGAGTTCAAGACCAGCCTAGGCTACAGAATGAGATCCTGTATCAAACAAAGCAGTAAAGAAAATTCCACTGACAAACCATTTTTTTTTTTTGGCTTTTCGAGACAGGGTTTCTCTGTAGCTTTGGAGGCTGTCCTGGAACTCGCTTGGTAGTCCAGGCTGGTCTCGAACTCACAGAGATCCGCCTGCCTCTGCCTCCCGAGTGCTGGGATTAAAGGCGTGCGCCACCAACGCCCGCTGACAAACCATTTTTAAGAGGGCTGAAGATGTGGCTTAGTGGTTGGAGTGTGTGCCTGCTGTGTCTGTGCCAAAAAAAAACAAAAAACAAAAAAAAAAAAAAGAGAAAAAAACCAAAAAGCCGTATTATTTTGTACTGCAAAAGTGATAGTGCAACTAAGTCTATATTCCAGATAGCTGAAAAAGCAAGTTAGCATGTTCTGCTCTGTGTGTGTGTGTGTTTGTGTGTGGTTTGCATGTGCCTGGAAGATAGAGGTATTTTTTGCCCTATTCTATTGAGATAGGTTTTTTTTTTTCTTCAGACCTGGTTTTTCTGTGGCTTTGGAGGATGTCCTGGAACTAGCCCTTGTAGACCAGGCTGGTCTCGAACTAGAGAGATCCGCCTGCCTCTGCCTCCCGAATGCTGGGATTAGAGATAGTTTTCTCAGAACCTGGAGCTAGCTTAGAGGCCATCAAGACCCTAGTGACCCTGTGTCCTTGCAGCTACACTTGACTTTTTAGGTGGGTCCCAGAAATTTGAACACAGATCCTTATGCTTCCAAAGCTAGGGGTCTTACCCACTGGGCCATCCCCTAGCATGATTTTAAACTATTAAACTATACATGAATTTTTACTTCCGTGTCACATGAGATCAGGTAAGAATTTTCCACTTGTACTATTTTTTTAAATGTGTGTGTTCATAGTAGAACAGTTAAAGTTACACTTGTCTGCATTTGCTAAGGGACAAATGAAGTCAGACCAGGAAAGGTGAGAATCCTCTGGTGACCGATCAGTGTTCAACACCTTATCCATATCTCTTTCTTTTCTGTGAATTGGCATATAGTGATAGATTGATGGCTATAAAGATCAAAGGACACTTATGTAATTATTACCTAGTTCCTGACAGCAAGATTAATTAGCCTGTTGCTAAGCACACAAAAGACAGTCATCCATGACACCTCGGGTACTTTTTGGTGAGGATACAAACATAACTTGGTGGGAGCCGTTTTCCATCAGCAGTGTCTGAGGAAACTGCTCCTTTGCTGCTCTCCACCAAGTGTTTGAATCTTTCCCTCTTCTGTAGTCAGAGGGAATATCTACCATGGGATCTGTAGTCAAAAGATGACCTTAAACCCAATTCCTGCCTCCAACTCGTAAGTACTGGCTGGCATTATAGGCTTAAGCCTATATAACCCCCCAGTCAGCATTTTTTTAGTTCACTAAATTAGAGAATATGTCATATTAGCTGTCTGAAAATACCTTTTGGCAGTTAAGTACACTTGGACTGTAGAGAAGTTAAGTCATTATCAGAAGGTTCTAGTGTCTGCTATTCCTATTAGATGGAAACCTAATCATGATTTACATTCAGTTATACCATGTACAATGATGACCAACTGTCACCCATTTTCCCTCTTCTAAGCTAGCACAAGTGAAGATGGTAATTTCATTCTCTCTTTTTTATTATCATAGGCGAAAGAGTGAATGCAGTCTCCCATTACTGAAAATTATATAAACTAATTTGCCTTAGGGGAAAGCACAGGGCGAACCTGGACCTGGGAAAATCACGTCTTGATGGATGTCTGCCCTGTCAGGTGAGCATTAGTGATTTCTTTCTAATCATATTCAAATGACAGAGCGAAGTGATTTCTGGCCTGTGCATCTTTACTTTCCTCACATCTTTCATTGTTAGGCATATACTTCTTTTTAATTTTAGAATTGTTTTATGTACTTTATGCCTGAATGTATGCATGTCTATCTTACGTGTGTCTGGTACCTTTAGAGATCAGAAGGTAGCAGATTCTCTGGAACTAGAGTTAGGGATAGTGGGATAGTTCCCACCACTATCCCAGGTTCTCTGCAAGAATAGTAACTGCTCTTAATCACTGAACCCTCAATTCAGCCCCTGGCTTAATTTTTTTTTTTTAAATAATTTCCCATGGCTAGACAAAGTATATAGCTCAGTAGCATCCCTAGCATCAGACACACACACTAATTTCCTATAAATTAAAGTCAGTCCTTATAAAACTAGTAGTCACAAGCCGGGCAGTGGTGGTGCATGCCTTTAATCCCAGCACTCGGGAGGCAGAGGCAGGCGGATCGCTGTGAGTTCGAGGCCGGGCTGGACCGATAGCCTCCAAAACAATACAGAGAAACCCTGTCTCGTAAAAACCAAAAAAACAAAACAAAACAAAACTAGTAGTCACTAAATGAGACATTAATATCCAAGACATTAAAAACCAAGATGAACAAAGAGGATGAATGTTTTATTTGTTTCTCACTGTGTTGCAAAACCAGTATGTCAGGGTGGAAAAACAATGGCAGCCCACACAGCACATGGTAAAATTAAGACAGTACTGTCCTTCATCTGTACTATAGTTTCCTGTGCTCCCAGGCATTTCCAATGAGAAACACATTAAGTCCTTCAACCAGAATCCCAGTGGATATGGGCAAGTTACAGTATTATGTGAGATTTGCAACACTATTATCCTGAATTATGGAATTCTTGTCGTCACTAGGTAGGGTCTCACCATGTAACTCTGGCTGACCTGGAACTTGTTAGTAGACCAGGCTGACCTGGAAACAAGAGATCTGCCTATCAAGTGCTGGGACTAACAGGTAGTTTGTCACCAAACCCAGCTTCATAACCACTTTATTACCATAAATGATCTCAAGAATTCTAAACACCAGAGCTTAACCCTAGTCTAAATACCTAGTATGAAGATTATTAAAAATATGTACATTATATTTATCTGTACCCATCAGGAAGTTGGGGTTTTTAAGTAGCACTGTTGAGTAGTTTCTTTCCATCAGTATTGCTAGAAGTTATTTCAGATCTTCTATTCTCCACTAACTTAAGACAAGCATGATGGAGCAAGTTACTTCCGACAGTTTTATTTGGGAGTGGGAGTGCCATGCTCACTCCTCAATGGATTTCACATATTTCTCATATGCTTCTTCACTCATTAATTCATCCAGCTCTGAAGGGTCACTCACTGTCATCTTGATCAGCCAACCTGTAACCAAAAAACTTCATTTCAAATTGCCCTTTTCAAAACTTAAATTCATTCAAAATATGAATTTTTAAGTCCCTCAAAATTAATAGAGTACCCTCAATTAATTGATGCTGTTACTCTAATTTGCATCCATTATTTGTTCAACAAATTTTAGCCCTAAGAAATTAGTGGCCTGGAATGAGATGGCTGTTTTTTAAGAGAGCATACTGCTGGAGCAAGGGATCCAAGTTTGGTTCCTAACACATCAGTGACTCACAACCACCCATAACTCCAGCTCCAGAAGATTTGATGCCCTCCCCTAACCCCTGAGGGTACCTGCCCTCAAATGTAAATACTCCTACACAGAATTATATTTCCTAATTAAAATATTTTAAATAAAATCTTGGGGCAAATTTAATTTATATTTTTAACAAAGACATACCAAACACTAACTATTAGGGCAGTAGAAAGACCTAGGACCAGGTATGGTGGCACACACCTCTAATCCCAGTCCTTGGGAGGCAAAGGTAGGTGAGTATCTGTGATTCTGACACCAGCAATGGCTATATAGAGAGACCTTGTCTCAAACCACCCATCCCACCCCCCAAAAAGAGAGAAAGCCTCAGAAAGTATGAAGGGCATGGCAGCAAGTCAAAGAGAACCACAACCGATTTTGCCACGTATTGACTCTGACACTCCAGTTACTTTTCCGGGGTCCTCCATTCATCTATAACATGGAGAAAACTGCAGCTGGCATACTTCACTGGGTTATTGTAGGGCTGAAATTCTGAGCAACAACGTACCATCTTCATAACAGGATTTGTTGACGAGCCCTGGATTTTCTGCAAGTGCTTCATTGACTTCAGTTACCTCTCCTGACAGAGGAGAGTAGAGTTCACTGGCAGCCTTCACACTCTCCAAAGCACCAAATTCATCTAAAAGGAAGTAGTGAAGACAGTTAACATCAAATATTACAAAAACAAATGTGGCCAGGAGTGGTGGCACACACCCTTAATCCCAGCACTTGAAACAGAGACAGGGGGATCTCTATAAGTTTGAGACCAGAGTGAGTTCCAGACCAGGGATACATAGTGAGACACTGTCTAAACAAAAAGACAAAAACAAAAATAGAAAATATGGTGAGGGATGTAGCTTAGTGAATACAGTGCTTGACTAGCATACATAAGGCTGTGGATTCAAATGCAGGCGACACCTGCAATCACAATACTGGGGAGACAGGAAGGAGAATCAGGAGTTCAAGATCACCCTCAGCTACAGAGCAAGTTAGAGGCTAGCCTGAGCTACAGAATGATCAAAGTCTTTGAAAACAGAAAGGAACCTCAACTAATAATGAGCAACTATGAACTGTCCCACAGCCATCACCACACCTGTTGATGAAATAGCAACTGCTTCCTCCTAAGATGAGGAACAAGGCAATGACACCCACTCTCACCACCTCTATTACAACATTTTTCAGACAGTCCCAGCCAGTGCAATAAGGCAAGAAAAAGAAAATACATAAAGACCAAATAAAACATATGAAAGAAGAAAATAAAGTCTCCAAAGCAAACTTAATGACCTAAACATAACTAGCTATGGTGGCACATGCATATAATCTAACCATGCAGGGAGTTTGAGGCTAGCCAGGATTATATGGTGAAACCCTGTCTGTTTTAAAAAACAAAAAGCAAAAAATAAAAAAAATAAAAAATAAACGGGGTGTGGTGGCTTAGGAGGCAGGCAGGCAGGTCTCTGTGAGTTTAAGGCCAGGCTGATTGGTCTGTGACATTCCAGAATGAGAAACAAACTCACCTTGTTTTTTCAGTTTTGTCCCAATTTCAGGCAGACTACAGTAAACAACATCTCCCAAAGCTTCCTAAAATACAAAAACAACATAAAAATATCTAACAAGTTGACCCTATCAAAGAACAGGAAAGAGACAAAAACACCCAATTGCCTATATTTTTGTCTATGTATTTCACCATCGAGGAGCTATATTCTTTGCTTTTCTTTACAACCCTCTAAACATGTAAAATGGGCCAGGTGTGGTGGCATAAACCTAAAATCCAGCTCTTGAGAAGCAGATATAGGAAGTTGTAAGTTCAAATCCAGCCTCAGTTGCATAATGAGACTCCATTACACAAAAATAAAATCAGATGAAATTTGGTACACCTGTCAAAGGCTGAGAAAGGGAGAACCCAAGTTCAAGACCCACCTTTGCTACAGAATTGGCTCAAGCCCAGCTAAGGCACCTTAGCCAGAGCCTATTTCAAAATGAAAAGAAAGAAAAGGCTGGAGATGTAGGCAGTAGAGGAAAACCTGCCTAGCATGTGTGTGTGTGACCCAGGGTTCACCCACAGTGCTGCATAAATTAGTAATACTTTAAAATGTTAAGTGCACTGTGGGCAGGTGTTAATGCATGGTATGTACATGTGTAAAAACATGTGGAAGTCAGTGGATAACCTACAGGAGTTGGTTCTTTTACCCTACTGGGAGCTGCACTACAAAAAACAAACCACCAGCCAGATTTGACGTCTAGGCTGGAGTAACCCCAGGCACAAAGCACACGCTCCAAACAAGACTGCTAGTTGTTCTGAGCACCCTGTGCTTTCCACCTCTGCAGTTTTAGGCTGTGACCCAAACTGCACTGTATGAAACCTTACCCACTTATTCATCATAGTGGTCCTCATGAACCTGCCGCCCAAGACACTGGCACCACGGCCTCAGACAACTAACCCACCTTTCCTCACACCACCCAGATGGGCTGTATCACACACACCCCATAAGTTGCTGTTGAATAGGTGATTGCCCTTGTAGATGAACAACCTGTACTGAGCCCCTCAGTGGATACACAGGTATGCCAGTGAAGGTATCAGAACCCCAGAGGTCTTTCCAGCAGTTATCTCCTGCCTCACTGCACATCCATCCGGCTGAAACCACTGGCTGTGCTACTGCTTTGCTCTTGTTCTTTTGAAAAGTATCTCAGTATGGGGAGAACAAAATAGGGTTATTTCTAGAGTAAAGAGCAGCTAAATAAAAGGTCTCTTCTTTGTGTCAGCAGTGTTTATCTGTGTAAGCTCTCACATATCTACAGTGGCATCCCACCCCAGCCCTTGAGCTTGCTCTTAGCTGTTCAACATGAAATTTTTCTTAAATAATATTCCCTGCTTTTAAGTGTTGACCCAGTACTGTTGGGTTTTTTCGGGGGGGTGGGGGGGGTGGGCGGGGTCTTGCCCAAGCTGGGCTCAAACTCATAATCTCCTGCCTTGGCCTGAGGGTGTTTGTGCCAATATGCCAAACAGTGTCTATTTAAACATTTTAAGACCATATGATGCTCTAATTCACATTTTACATATTTTACTTTAGATTGCTCCCTAAGGATACCATTTCATAAGGTAGAGACAATCTGTTACAAACACTTCAAGACAATCCAATCAATACCTGTGCAAAATTGCTGATTCCCACTGTTCCAATACCATTCTCTGTGGTTATCCATTCATGTTTCTCTGTGAATTTACGCACTAAAACAGAAGACCAGTATTTCAGAAAAGCAGCAGCATCCCTTCTTCACCAGCCCTTCCAACATCATTCCTGTCAAAAGGAAAGACTTCCCCAGGACTGAGACTGACTTACTGATATTACTTTGCAGTAGTGTGATGCCCAGTAAAGAACAATGTGGAAAGACAGGGCAGTTTTAAGACACACGTTTGTGTAGCCACAGATGCACTGAGAGAAATGTAAAAAATTATGTATGTGAGGGTTTAGTCTGCATGTGTATATGTGCACTACATGTATGCAGGCTCCATGGAGGCTACAAGAGATGCCAGATCCCCTGAAACTGGAATTAAAGATGGTGGTGCTGGAACCCAAACCCAGTATCTCTGGAACAGCAATCAATGCTCTTAACCACAGAGCCATCTCTCAGTCCCAAGAGCGTATCTTACATGGAACACCTTGTACATCCCTGGGCTTATCTGTTTTAACATCAGCCTAAATCACTCAAAATTTCCGAGTATATTTCCTGAGTTCACTCTATGACTATAGGTCTGGTCTTGAACAAAGAACTCTATTCTTTGAAGACAGGCTTGCAGTAATGGGTTTGGGGAGGCAGCATAAAGAAAGTGATACATGCCAAGAAGTATACAGCTGACGCATCTGAAATACAAGGCTGGGTTGGGAAGATTGCAAGTTCAAGGGCAATCTGCAAGTTTTACTGGACACAGTGGCATATGCCTGTAACCCAGCCCTTAGGAGGTTGTAGCAGGAGGATCAAGAGTTCAGATCTATTATATTAAGATTGGCTGAAGAGATGACTCAGCAGCTAAGAGCACTGGCAATTCTTCCAAAGGAACCTGGTTCAACTCCCAGCATCCACACAATGGCTCATAACCATCCTTAACTCCAGTCCCAACTTGTGGCCTCTGCAGGCACTGCATGTACACGGTACACAGATATAACTGCAGGCAAAATACCCGTACATATAAAAATAATAAAAATAACATTAAGATGATATCAAACAGAAAAACAAGTTTTGAAGGACTGAGAATATAGCTCAGTAGATGATCACTTGTCTACCATGTGGGGCTCTTGTTCATTCCACTAATGGGGGAGGGGGATTGATTTACACAGGGCTCAGTGACCTGTAATATGGGAAGGCCAAGGCAGGAGATCAGTTGAGTATGAGAGTTTAAGGGAGCTTGGGCAACACAAGACACTGTCTCAGAAGAAAAGAAAAATATTTGAGGCTGGAGATGGCTCAGCAGTTAAAAGCATGTGTTCCTCTTTTTTTAGAAATTTATTTTTATTTTATATGCATTGGTGTTTTCCTGAACGCATATCTGTTTGAAGATGTCAGAACCCCTTGAACTGGAGCTACAGACAGTTGTGAGATGCCATGTGGGTACTGGGAATTGAACCCAGGTCCTCTGGAAGGGCAGCCAGTGCCTTTAACTGATGAGCCACCTCTCCAGCCCTGCATGTGCTGCTCTTGCAGAGGACCTGGGTCCAGTTTCTAGCATTCACATGGTGGCTCACAACTGCCTGTAATTACAGTTTCAGTAAATCTGATGGCTCTCTTCTGACCTCCCAGGGCACCAGGCACCATGTACACAGACATATACTCAAGCAGAACACCTATAACATAAATCCGTAAGATATAAAACTTAGCCAGGTGGTGGTGGCGCACACCTTTAATTCCAACACTTGGAAGGCAGAGGCAAGGGCATCTCGGTAAGTTTGAGGCCAGCCTGGTCTACAGAGTGAATCTCAGGACAGATTCCAAAGCTACAGAGAAACCCTGTCTCAAAAAACCAAAGAGAGCCGGGCGTTGGTGGCGCACGCCTTTAATTCCAGTGCTCGGGAGGCAGAGGCAGGCGGATCTCTGTGAGTTCAAGGCCAGCCTGGTCTACAGAGTGAGTTCCAAGATGGGTTCCAAAACAATAGAGAAACCCTGTATCGAGAAAAAAAAAAAAAAAAAAGGAAAAGGAATTTGTATAGCTATATGGCTTCAGCACTCAACTTTCATGTTCTTAAAAGTCTAGAATTCACTGATTACATTACCAATCACGAGCAGTTCAAAAGCAGCATAGTGTCTGACTATAAGGGGCGGACAGTTACAAATACGTGTCACCCTGCTAATATTGGCCTCAACTTTGCCAGCAGCATTCTGAGCACACCTAGGTCCACTTGACCTCAAAGTCCACTATCATCCTTTAGACCAGGCATGCTACTTAGGCTAACCACAGTGTGATTCCAATTCTCCATTAACCCTTGACCCGACCAAAAAAAAAAAAAACAGATTAGGTAAATAATTACTTTCTTCCTAAGCCTTGAAAAACACGGTTTGAGGACTGGGGATGTGGCTTAGTTGGTAGGGTGCTTGCCTATTACTGAGGTAACTCTGGGATCAGTCCCTAGCACTGCATAAACTGGGTGTGGTGGTGCTTGCCTATAGTCCCCGAAATGTCATGAGGACCTGAAGTTCAAGGTCATCCTTGGCTACACAGGAATCTTCAAGCTAAACTAAGTGAGATCACGTGAGATCATGCCTCAGGGAAAAGAAACAAAACCCGCTGGGCGTTGGTGGCGCACGCCTTTAATCCCAGCACTCGGGAGGCAGAGGCAGGCGGATCTCTGTGAGTTCGAGGCCAGGCTGGACCGACAGCCTCCAAAACAATACAGAGAAACCCTGTCTCGTAAAACCAAAAAAAAAAAGAAAAAAGAAACAAAACCCACCATGGTTTGAGACCGCAGAAAAACTGAGCTGTAACTGAGGAAAATCCTTCATTCCTTTCCTTTCAATTCCCAAATACAATCTATTTTATCTAATGACTCTGTTATGTGTACATTTAGTTATGTAATACATACTAATATTTAATAACACTATTCAGTGTCAAGTTCGGGAGACAGGACCTTAGTTCACTTCTTCCTCCCAGTAACTCTGAGGTAGCTACTTCCTCTGCTGTCTTAATGCGGGACACTGGGGTTCTGAGAAGTTGAGAGCCTGGGCCCAAGACCACGCAGCTGTGAGAGGAAGAGCCAGGAGTGAGTAAAGTCTGTATGCTTTTCCAAGGGCAGGGCCTGCACCCTGCAAAATAAGTATGCACAATTCTGCCAGTTAAAAAAGGGTAAAAATGAAAACCCGAGTAGTTAGGCAGACCAGGAGAATTGATATTGTGGGCAATATTTAACTAACAACCTGGAACTCGGTATGCAGCTCAAGCTGGTCTCAGACACAGTGAGAGTCAGGAGTGCTGACTGTTAGAGGTGGGGGCCACTCACCTTCCTGGTCTGAAATGGAGTTATCTGAGCAGTGCTCTACCCTTGTATTCCAGTCAGCAACACTGCTGTGTCACAAACAATAGAGAAATTTTAGCAAGAAAGGAGCAAACTTTGCACTCCACACTGAGGAATAACGTGATCAACATTTTGAGTTCGCACAGATTTCTGACCCAAGAGACTTGCTGAGAGCAGCCGTTCAGATTTGTGCTGCCTGAATAGGGATCGTACAAAGGGCAACAGGGGTCTCCACTATTTGCACATAAAGAAAGAAAACTGTTTCCCAGCTAACTGTGCGAACACGTATAATGGGCAGGTCTCCCAGTTATTTCCAGTCCGTCAAATTAGCCTCTTTTCAGCCCCAGTACACATCAGTGACTCAATTACAGACATTATCAGAACTTCTCTGAAGTCTAGAACACTTTCCCTTGCTTTCTGTAGTTCACAGCTGAATCTTCAACGCCATGCTTGGCTTTGCGGGGGGAAGGGGAGAGTAGTAAAAAGCTTTTACTTCTTCACTTTGACTTTTCTTTCATTTGTCTGCGTGTGCACTCGGTGCTAAATTTTAGTAAGTGCTTCTTCTTAACTTCGCTTCGCATTTTCCTGTTATGGTTCTTTTTGCTAAGCACTCCACATTTGGGGTCTCGGTGCACCCAAATGTAAGTCACTCCAGCATGAGTGGCCGGGCTATCTGCAGGTCCAGCGGGCCTTCCCTCCTAGCTCCACCCCGGGTGCAAAGTTTGCTCCTGTCCTCTCGCCTACTTTAAGAGAAGAACCGCAGAACCAGGATCCCAAGAGCAAGAAGAAGCGCGGACAGAGCTACAGCTCGCCTATCTCCGGGCGGCTCGACCACGTGCCCCTCACTTACCCGACTGCACAGCGGATCCAGTGCTCAGAGCTCGGACGGCGGCGGCGCTCAGCACCCAGGGCCGCGGTGGGCAGGAGGCCAAGGCGGTACGCAGACTGCAGGCCACGGCCCACGCGCTCCTAGCCACTCGCAGCGACATGATCAAGGTTCCTAGGGTAACCGCACTGCGCCTCCGCCACCGGGCGGGCGCTAACAGGGTGGGCCAGAATAAGCGGAGCACCGAGCCCGGGGCGGAGCTCGGGCAAGATGCTCTCTGATTGGACAACTCGAAGGTCCCATTTCAGATAGGACAACGTGCGCGAGGGGTGTGTGCCTGTGGAGGAGCTGAGGCCCGGATGGGGCAGTGTGAGGGGCGCGGAACGGCTGGGCGGGGAGGGGCGGGGCGGAACGGCTGGGCGGGGAGGGGCGGGGCCTCATCGAAGGGCGGAGCCTCGCACCAAGAGTGGGATCTTGTGAACACAAGCAGTTGGTCAGCAATCTGTGCATTCCCCTAAACTGCATCACCTCAGTGGCCAGAGAAAGAATCCAGCAAGGATGTCTTTGTTGGGCTAACGCAATCTCATGCCATTAAATCAAAAAGTCCTAGGAAAGACGAGATCCCGCCACGTCCTTTAAAGCACAACCATGCCTATCTGCACAAGGTCACCCCCAAGGGGATTCATTTCATCTGAAGACCAGTAGTAGGCATCTTACAAAGTCACACTGACACAGATCGTATGCGTTTTTAAATGTTGAAAACAACCCAGGAAGCCACTTTATTACTTTACAGATGCCAAGAGGGTCAGAGACTCTTAAACCCAAGGGAAATGGAGAATAACACAATTTATGCGGGCCTTGTATTATCTTTGATGACAGCACCCTGGAGGTGAAGACTGGAGATTCAGGAGTTTTCAGCCCATTGCTCCTTAGCAACCAAGTGTGGACTCTGGAAATGAACCTGGGTCCTCTGCACGAGCAGGAGCATCGACTACTCTTAACCACTGCCTCATTTCCCAACCCCTTAAGAAGATTTTTAATATCCAGCTAGAAAGTAGGTGTTGTCCATCCTCAGGGTCAGCTGTACAAAGAGAGTTCCAGGACATCCAGAGCTGTACAGAGAAATCCTGTCTCAAGAAAACAAAACGCTAGACAGTAATAGTGTTCTTCCTGTTTCTTGTTTGTTTGTTTGTTGCTTTTTATTTTCTGAGACAAGCTTTCTCTATATTATAGTCCTGGCTGCCCTGGAACTCGATTTATAGACAGGTTGGCCTTAAACTCACAGAGAACTGCCTACCTCTGCCTCCCGAGTGCTGAGATTATAGTCATGTGCCACCACCGACAGGCATTCTTCTTGTTTTTTAAGCCACTCAACTTTGTCATTCTTGGTCCCAGAAAACTAACTGGACAGCTATTAACATTTGGAAGAATTCTGAGATCATTCAAGGCAACTGCCAATAGCCAAAGCGGTGAATTAATTGTTCTGTAGAGAATATTCTTTTCCACATACGTGTATTTTATTTCTAGGAAGAAATACATTTGAACACGTACTATTATATATGTAGGTATTGTGACTATTTTATTAGCTGGGTTCCAGAACTCTTCTATAGACAGCAAAGCCAGCCCTCCTGTGAGACTTCAGCATCACTGGCATGAGCAGACTGGAAGCTCTGACCTTCCTGGACATGTGGATGAACAGTTTAAATCCGGGGCAAAGCTTGTGCTGGTTGAGGGCACAGAGCCAGGGAAGACGACTCTGGCTGGTCATTGCTGCTCGGCGGCTCTTCCCTTTTACATCTGACACCCAAAAAGCTGAGGATTTTCATCAGGAGCAAGTCTGCCATCTCTCCTTCCTCCGACAGCTGTAAGAAGAGAGGACCAAGTGATGCATCTGGAACCACCCCAAGGGATTACTGTCCTGTTTGGTCCCAGGGCTGAGGCTATGGCTTGGTGGTAGAGCATGTGGTTAGTAAGCTCAAAGCTCTGGGCTTCATCCTCAACACCACAAAACAAACAAAAACAGCCTGTTTGTTCCAAGCCTAAAGTCACTAGGCTGTTCTAGGGTTGGGATGACCTACTTCTGGGGATCTACCTCCCTGGGGCGGGCAGGGATTCTTCATGTCCCCCATGGGCCCTCTTCCTCTGTGCTGAGCATGTCTGGGTTTTCCTGGCAGCACTTCCCATCCCACACTGGATAGAGAAAGCTTTGGCTGGTTACTGCACCTGAATTTAGGTACCAGACACCTTTCAGGGATGACTGTCACCCACCTCACTCAGCCCTGCAGTGGCGGGTTTTTCCTTTGTTATGTAATTGCCACTTCTGCTTCCTCTGCTTACCTCTCAGTGTCACCAGCATGGGACGGATTAGGGTTTCTGGGGAATGAAAAACTAAATAGGCATTTCTCACTATAACTTTCCCATACTTAACCATAAGTGATAGGCAGGCAGATAGATGATAGACAGACAGACTGCCGGAGCTTTAAATAAAGAAAAAGACATGGAGGCACACACCTGTAATCCCAGCCCTTAGAGGCTAAAACAAAATCCAGTCTGAGCTGTATATCATGAGCTTGGTTCATTCATAAACAAATAAAGCAAAGCAAAAACAAAGTGTAGGACATAAAGAATGACAAGCCACACTTAAAGGCTACACCATGTAGATATGGTGGAACATGTTTATAATGCCAGCACTTGGGAGGCAGAAGCAGGAGGATCAGGAGTTCAAGGTCAGACTGAGATCCATGGGACCTTGTCTAAAACAAACAGCAAAACTGTACATATATCAACAAAGCAGTTCTATTGGATTAGGTATCCAGAGTAACACCACTTAACCAATTGATGGGGGATGTCTTCTGTATGCTGTGAATATGTTTCTCTCATTGGTTGATGAATAAAGCTGTTTTGGCCAATGGACAGGCAGGATGTAGACAGGTAGGAAGTATAGGTGGGGCTACCAGACTAAGGGAATTCTGGGAAGAGGAATGTAGGGAGTGAGTTGTGACATGACATGCAGCTGCCGGAAAAAAAGCAAGAGACTTGAGCATCACTGATAAGTCAAGATGATGTGGAAATACACAGATGAGTAGAAATAAGTTAATAATTAAGAGAGTGCTAGCCAATAAGAAGCCTGAGCCATAGGCCAAACAGTTTATAATTAATATAAGCCTTTGTGTGCTTATTTGGGACTAAAAGTCTACAGGACTGGGCAGGACAGAAATTTCCATCTACAGCCAATTACATCAACAACGATTTTCCTCTCCAATATAGTTATATGTGGAAATAGTGGGGCTTAGCACTTTAACATATTTTTGTTGTCTTTTTTTAGGGAACAGAAATTCCATCCATAACATCTGTAACTCCCCTCCAAGAAGGTTCTTAAACAATGAAAACATGGACAATACTTAGTTGCAAAAGACTATGCAGGCCTGGTGTGGCAGCACACACCTTTGATTCCATCACCTAGGAGGAAGAGGCTGGTTGATCTTCGTGTTAGAAGGCCAGCCTGAGCTACTTTAAAAAAAAAAAAAAGTGAGTTGCTGATACATACAACAAGGATGAGCTTCAAAAATATTGCCCTCAAGCCGGGCGGTGGTGGTGCACGCCTTTAATCCCAGCACTCTGGAGGCAGAGGCAGGCGGATCTCTGTGAGTTCGAGACCAGCCTGGTCTACAAAGTGAGTTCCAGGACAGCCTCCAAAGCCACAGAGAAACCCTGTCTCGAAAAACCAAAAAAAAAAAAAAAAAAAACATTGCCCTCAGGCTGGGGGCTGTGGTACATGCCTTTAATCCCAGCACACGGGAGGAAGAGGTAGGCAGAGCTCTGTGAGTTTGAGGCCAGCCTGATCTACAAAGTGAATTCCAGGACAGGATCCAAAGCTACACAAAGAAACCCTGTCTTGGGAAAACAAAAAACAAACAAACAAAAATAAACAAAAAGAAAAATGGAAAAAATTTTCCACAGACTGGAAAGATGGTTCAGCATCTAAAAGCAATTGATCTTCTTGCTAAAGACTCAGGTCCATTGCTAGCACCCACACTAGCTCCAGTTCCAGTGAATTCCAGTTCTGGCCTTCACAGGAACAGCAGGCAGGTGGTGCCCATATGAACACATAGGCATACATGCACATATACAAAAATAAAATAATATTGTCCTAAGAGGAAACAGTCAGATGCAAAAGCACGTACATATATGATCCCATTTATATGAAGAATAAGTCAAAGGAGTGAGTTCACCTGGTCACATTTTTGCTCCTCACTGAAGGCCACCAAAATGACTGAGATAAACAGATTCAGTACCACAAATGTCATAAAAACTATGCAGGACCCAATGAGGAAGGAGCCAAGAACTGGGCTGTAGTCTAGGACCTGCCAGGGAGAAAGCCAGTCATGCCCATTTCCTGTAGCCACCATCCCCCCCAAGGAACCCTCAGCAGCAAATCAGGTCCCTCTGAGCTGAGTAGAGTTACAAAGATGCCCTCTGCCTAGGGCTGGGAGTGTGGCCTGAGCTCTCCAGGAACTGGCCCAGAAGGGCTGCACCCATACCCACCACTGCTTTCCCTAAACACAGGCTGGGAATTTCTGCATCCCAGCATGGCCCTCCTGAGGGTCGGATGTTCTATAAGCAGGAACCCCCAGAGCAGGCTGTCTAAAGGTGGAGAAACATTCTTATTCATCTAGGGAAGCCCTGTGCTTGCCAGGCTCTGTACTGAACTCAAGGTAATATAGGGCAGGGTGGGCAGGGAGTGATTTTCTAACACACAGATTTGGCCCAGATTGCAGCGGCCATGCCCCCACCCCCACTCCCATTACCTCTTCGTAGTTGAAGATCCCCAGTTGAAGGCTGACCATTGTTTCTGCTGCGTCAAAAAGGGTTTTGTAGGAACGGAGTTTCCAACCAAACATTAAGTTTGACTGTCACGGAAAGAGTCTTTGTGAAGAGGGAAAGAAAGTGGAAAGCCCCTCCCCTGGTCCTCCTGTCTGAGATAGCGACTCGGGTGTTCAGTGGGAGGAGGCAGGGGTTAGAATGGAATGCACATGGGGACACATGGGCCGGCGGTGCCCGTGATCTGTGAGTGGCGAGAGGTGCAAGACTGGACAAAACTGGGTGAGAGATGACAAAGGCATGGCTAAATGTCAAAGACAGATGGATACCCAAGACTATGCTGGAAAATCACAGACCTATTGAGCCTCAGAGTCAGAATGAGTATTTGGATAGATAACAGGAAGAGGTCAGAAGTCTTTTTCTTATTACTTGACAATACGAAAGAGTCAAAGACTCAAGGTTGGTGGTGGTCTTTGGCTTTTTTTCCCTTAGTGACAAACAGATGTAACTGTCAGCATGCAGTGTTAAGCGGCTGAATGAAACAATATTGGCACTGCTGAGTTCAAGTATTTGAACCCTCACCTCTCCACCTCTGCCCTAGATCAAGGAGACAGTGACCCAGTTCATCCATGAGCACAGCAGGAGCCCACTGTTCATGCCTGGAAAGTAGCCATGAGGCTTCTAAGCAACTGGGGTACCAGAACTGGCCGCTTGAGCAGACCTAGCTGCAGAAAGCAGCCCATCTGAGAGGTCATTGTATCCTTTTGGTCTTGGACATTATACTGTGTCACTCGTATTCTACTGAGGTCCAGTCTTTGTGGTGGTAATTACATAAGGTCCTAGTTAAAAGATCCTGGATCCACAAGTTCTGACATTTCCTTTGAATTCCCCAGTCTCCCCCTAACCGTGACAAGTAGCCTTTACTTCCATCAAGACCTGCCCTGCCCTGAGGTTTTCCTAAAGGGAGCACTCACCGCAATGGAATAAGCCAGGAGCATGATAAGGATGACGGTGATAAAGCCCGAAATGTCACCCCAGGCACGGCGCAGTGCTGATGTGATCATGTTCATTTTGGGATTCAAGCGGAGCAGGTGCCAAAGCTTCACTGTGGACAGCAGGACGAGGAAGGCAATGATGTAACCAAGTGCAGCATCAGTGGCTGCTGTCTCACTGAAACTCATCCCCCTGTGGGAACAAAATGGGAAAGCCCCATCTCAGATGCCAGGGGAAGCACGGCTGGAGTCCTTCCAGATACAGGGTTCTATTTACTATGAACTCAGAGATCAATATGTCCTGAGTCTGGGAGACAAAGTAGTTCTAATTCCCCCCAGTCAGGTAATGGTGGTGGTGGTGATAGTGAGAAGAATGTTGGTGGTGGTGATTTACGATGATAAGCATGATAGTAGTAGCTGGGCGGTGGTGACGAACGCCTTTAATCCCAGCACTCGGGAGACAGAGGCAGGTGGATCTCTGTGAGTTTGAGGCCAGCCTGGTCTACAGAGAGAGTTCCAGGACAGCCTCCAAAACAATACAGAAAAACCCTGTCTCAAAAACAAACAAACAAAAAAGAATGATAGTAGTAGATTTACCATCAAGATGGCTCAATGACTAAAAGTAATTTCCATGCAAGCCTGGCCACCTGAGTTGATTCCCAGAACCCGTGTAAACATGGAGAGAACCAACTCCAGAAAGCTGTCTTGTGGCCTCCACACAGGCTGTGGCACGTTGATGCCTGCTCTCTCGCTCTTTCTCTCCTCCCCCCCACCAATACTCATAAATAAAATGTGCTAGGTGTGGTTGTGCGTGCCTTTAATCCAGCACTAGAGAGGCAGAGGCAGGTGGATCTTTGTGAGTTCGAATCCAGTTCGGTCATCACGGTGGTCGTGAGGGTGATACTGGTGATGGTGGAGTGATAAAGTGGTAGTCATGGTGACAGCAGTGATGATGATGAAGATGATGCTGTTGGTGACGATGGTGATCATGATGATGAGGGGGATGAGAAGAATGAGCGTAATGATGGTGAGGATGGTGACAACGAAGATGATGAGAATTCTGGCGTTGGGGATGGATGATAATGTGGCTTGTTCTCGGGGCCCTTCACCAGCAATTTGGATTATTGGCTACACAGCTGTGGAAGGATGACAAAAGAGGAATATATTGGTGTGGGGAGCTGGGAGGATGGGAGAGAGGTTTTTGTGAGTCTTGACCTCCCAGCTCTGGGGTCAAAAAATGCCACTCCCTCCTGCACCTGTTTGAGTGAGTGTACATTCCGGGATGCCTTCACACTGCAAGAAACATGGAGCTGTCGTCTCTTTGTTGTGCTAAGTGAGAATTGGATTGCTTTGTGTCATTGAGCTTCTAGGCGGAGCAGGCCTGGCTGTCTCCGGTGCACAGATAAGGACAGAGTTGGCACAAGATCACTCAGGTGGTGATATACATGGTGACACAACTTGTGAGGGGAGGAATGGGTTGGAACCCAGGTGTGTCTGATGTCAAAGCCTTTCATTCTCCTTTTGTGCCAATGTATTCCAAGTTCAGTCTCACTAGTGTGACGTTTTATTGTTTTGAAACGGGCTCTCATGTTGCCCAGGGTTGCCTCAAACTCGATATGAGGCTGAGGATGATCTTAAGCTTTTTAACCTCCTGCCTCAGCCTCACAGGTATTAGAATTTCCAATGTGTCCCACTGTGCCCAAGCCAGCTGTGATATATAGCTTTTTCTATCAGCTCATGTTAATTACACAATAGTGGGTTTCACCAAGGTAGTTTTATTCATGTATATGATGTGTTTTACACAATGTGTAAATGTCACCCCCGTTAACCTCTCTTGTCCCCTTACCCCCACTCCTGCTGATCCCATCCTGTTCCTGAGCAGTTCTCCTTTTATGTCCTTTGGGTTTTTGTTTTGGTGAGCCAATGGGTTTAATTAGGGTTGCTTACATGAGCACCAACGACTATCCTCCATTTATAGCTTTTCAAATCTGTTTTTTCTAATCAGTATTTTAAGTTTTAGGCAGACATACCACATTTCTCATTTATTGAAAAAGTTACAGCTATGTTACAGAAGCAGCCTTGCTGAACAGGCCCACAGCCTGACTCTGCCAAGGTTTCCCTTGCTCTACCTGGGCTTTAAAGGGTAACTTTCTGTAGGGAACATAGGCATGGACTGGCTTTGCCCCTTTAGGTCCTAGTCAGGCCTACTACAAAGGTCTCCAGCCTTCCAGAACCTTCCTCCTCTCTGAGCAAACTGGAGCTCCTGGTAAGGATGACTGCTTCCTCTTTGGCTTCACTGAGCATTTTCCTCCTCCTCCTCCTGAGCTAGCCAGATGGTAAAGGCACTCACTGGCAAGGATGATGACCCGAGTTTGATCTTGGAGACCTTTGTGATGGAAGGAGAGAGCTAGCTCTCTCAAATTATTCTTTGATGTCCACATGAATGTTCCCCCCACACACAAAATAAATAAATAAATATAATTAGCAAAATAAAACACCAAAATCCCTTTCATGTCATTGAATTGCTCAATATGTGGAAACAATAACAATTCCTAGGCCCTTGCCTGAGAAGGCAATTAGTTCTAATTACAGTATGCCTCTGGACTTTGGCTACATATTGCAATAAGCCAGAGGAATGATAAGATACTGGACATCATGAGAAAGTCTGGGAGGCAGCCTGAACCACAGGGCTGGTTTCCTTCCTTCCAGAATCCTACTGGGGAGCTAGGACTGAGGACTACTGGGTTGCAGAGACCATGAAGCAAATCAGGTGTTTTATTAATTAGTTGGAGAGAGAGCTCTGAGGTTAAGAGTACTGGCTTCTCTTCCATAGGATCCAAGTTCAATTCCCAGCACCTATACGGTGGCTGACAATAATGTAACTCCAGTTACTGACTTCTGGCCTCCTTGGGCACCATCAGGCTCACATGTAGGGCACAGACATAATTTAGGCAAAATATCCATCCAAATAAAAATATTGTCAAAATAAATAAAAGCATTTTATTAAAATTCAGGACTTGGGCTTGAGGGTTATCTCAGTAATAGAGTATGTACTTAGCATACAGCAAGACCCTGGGTTTGATCCCCAGCAAAAGGAAGAGAAAGAGGGGAGAGGGCAGGAGGGAGAAGGGATAAATTAGGTTCTTGTAAAAAAAAAAGCTTATATATTTAAATATTTTCATAGGTGGCCGGGCGTTGGTGGCGCATGCCTTTAATCCCAGCACTTGGGAGGCAGAGGCAGGTGGATCTCTGTGAGTTCGAGGCCAGCCTGGTCTACAAAGTGAGTTCCAGGATAGCCTCCAAAGCCACAGAGAAACCCTGTCTCGAAAACAAAAAAAAAAAAAAAAAAAAAAACCCCAAAAATATTTTCATAGGTTTCTGAAAAAGAGTTAAAAAAAAAAAAAAACTATGACTTTGGTTAAAATGATCTGGCAGCTATTCCAGGAGCTGAGGCAGGAAGGTTGGAGTAAGTTTAGAGTCAGCCTGGGTGACTCTGTAAGACCCTGACTCAATTCCTTTTAAGCAAAACTAAGACTTTACTTGTTCACTGGGATGGGGTGTGGCTCACTGGGATGGGGGTGTGGTTCACTGGGATGGAGGGGTTCACTGGATAGAGGGTATGGTTCACTGGTAAAACACTTTCCTAGCATGTGTGAGGTCCTGGATTCAAGTCCTAGCACTGAAAAAAAAAGAAATTAAAAACATTTGGCTAATAGAGTAATAAAATTATCAAATTCAACTAACTGTTTCAAATTAAACTTCAAACTGAAGTTTAACTGTACTTAGGCCTACTGGGCTTATAGCTCAGTAGTAGAGCTATTACCTGGGAGAGTGAAGCCCTGGGTTTAAAGGTTTGATATTTAGCACCACAAAAAAACAAAAGCAAAAACAAACAAACAAATAAAAAAACAAGAACAAGCTGGGTGTGGTGGCCAGCACATTTAATACCAGCACTGGTCTGCAAAGTAAGGGTTGTTACACAGAGAAACTCTGTCTTGAAAGACAAACAAACAAAACCCAAAGGCTAGAGAGATGGCTGAGCAGTTAAGAGTGTTCACTGCCCTTGCAAAGGACCTGAGTTTGGTTCCCAGCAACCACACCGTTCAGCCCATAACCTCCTGTAACTCTTGCTCTGGGGGATCTAATTCTGGCTTCTGCATGCACCCCCTTACACATGTGTCAGGCATTCATACAGACACACAAATTAAAAAAGTCTCAGAAAATGAATGCAGACTCCACTTTGGTTTCTGAGAACTGGCACATTTCTTTTTTATGTTTTTCTGACATCCACTGTTAAAAGAGAACAGTCTAGAGTTGGCTCAAGACCCAAAAAAATAATAAACCGTGTGGATGTCAAGGATGAAGTATGAGATGGCGTGAGGCAGGAAGCAAACACTGAGGTGCATGAGCTCATGGGCAACCAGCCTCAAACCTAGCTTTGTTCCTCTGAGCCTTTGTTCTCCAGGTGGCCAGCTCTTTCTGGAAAGGTCAGAGAGTCCACCCTTGGGGCTACATGGGCCAGATGGTTTCTGTCTCAGTGACTCAACTTTGCCATTGTAGCAGAAAAGCAGCCGTAGGCAGTATGTGAGCAAATGGGTGTGCCCACCCATATTGTAATAAAACTTCATTTGTACCAGGGCATGGTGGCACATGTCTGTAACCCCAGCACTAGGAAGATGGAAGCAGGAGGACCATGAGTTCCTGGTCATCTGTGTGAGAAGCAGATGTTCTTAACCACTGAATCATCTTCCAGCCCTGTTACTATGTTTTGTATTAAAGAGTCCTCTCTACCTGGAGTGTGTGTGTGTGTGTGTGTGTGTGTGTGTGTGTGTGTGAATAATGATCATAGTATATTAGATGTATGCATGAAAATGCCACAATGAAATCCATTATTTTGTATTTATAACAAACTTATAATTCTAGTAATTAATACATGCTAATTTAAATGCAAGAAATGAGAGAATTCTTTCCGATTTCTTAAGTTCC